AGGTTACCTTCTTTTACCTTCAACAAAATGAATTTCTATTCTTTATACCTTCTCTATTAAACACACATCTTTTCTAGCAAGCAGAGATATTTTCTTTATTACTTTAAGTAGTTTTATTTAGAATTTAAAATTATTAGGAACTTTAATTTTCAGTGGACACTGAGAAGTGGGCTATTGCAAACTGTTACACTAGCATTCTTAGATTGGCAAATTTATGAACACATTTTATAGTTTCTAGAACTATGTGCTTTATAGCACAATCTCTAAGCATACAGTATGTCTGCTTAATTTCACAAAACTGTAAGGTTTCAGGTTACTGTAAAGATTTTCAAGCTGTTTGTAAGTATACACACTGTAACACCTTAATACATTAACACACTATTATTAAGATGTTTACTTGCTACACTTATTTAGTTTAGTCATTCCTAACAACCATGCTCACAAAACTTATACCAAACAGTAGACAAAGTCAAGCCTCTCTTTAAGCATTTTTTTTGAAAGATTTAATAGATAATATTAACTTCAATGACTTTAGGTAAACTTAGGCAGCTGATAACTATACGGACATGTCCGTTTCAGTTTAATTTAAATTAGCATTAATGCTTAATATCTTTTATTAAAATTTTCTAGAAGTTTTAGAATGCCCAATTTTTATAAGCGCTTGTCTTTAAATCAATTTTTATTAATACCATCTGGAGGTAAAAAAATATTTCTCATTCACACACTTAGACAAACAAACATACAAACTGAGATGCAATGACTACAGTTAGCAACATTTTTCACAAAAGAACATACACACAGACAAACAAACTGACACAAAGATTTGAGTTATTAATATTCACTTGTCTTCTTTCTTTTTAGTTTACTTGATTACAGATACCTTAAAATCTGGAGGCTTTTTAACTAGTTGAGCAGCACTTATTCTAAAAGGATTACATTGGGCTGCAGTTTCTCTAAAATTTTCTTCTTTTTCTGGAGTTAATATTTCATCATAAGGGGAGGCAGAGGCCAGCATCACTTGAGATTTTGTTACAGAGAGTAGCGGTGTCATTCATCTATTAGATAAGGCCTCTAACAATGTCAAAGTGTAAGGTGTCAAGGGACCATAGTCTTTGCATGCAATTCTTTAATTCTTTTAATAATTTATATGGGATGGGGTCCCAGGATACACTTTCATCATCAAATTCTCCTCCAAAAATAATTGGGTAACACATCAATCAATTCTATGCCTCCTTCTTGTTCTGTTTGCTTTAACACAGTCCTTACTCCAGTAGGAGTCTTCTGATCAAATTTGTGCTGTTTAAGTTCTAAAACCTCCTCGATTAAATTCCACAATGCAAAGGCATCTGTAGGGACCTTCTCAGGACCGTGATGATAATAATAGACCAGCATACCTTCGCTTACTTCGTCCCAGATTTCCATATCCACAGATGTATCTTTAGGAAACCATGGGCAACACTCCTGCACAAAATGTAGAAATTTAGTCAGCTGTCCTGACGAGACTTTAATTCCTCTTTTTTCTTTCATATGCTTAATGATTTCAATGAAGAGACCTCTTTCTTTGGACTCTCCATGGCTCATCTTCTCAAGTAGTTCTGACTATCTGCCCTTCTTTACCCTGTCTTCCTTCACAGGGGGGTCTGCAGCACCCTTGAGCAGAGTCCTATCCGTCCTCGATTAGAGGGAAAGGGAAATGGGAGAACTTACCTTTGAGCCCCACGTTGGGCGCCACTTGCGGGAGTCCAGCTCCAGCCTAGGGGTGGGATGCCTGAAGGTGCAGGACGGACGCAGTCGGCGCATGGAGAGACAGGACACGGAGTCAGATGGAGGTGGTCTCTTGACAAAGTGCTGATGACAGCTTTATTTATACCATTTTGCACAAGGATATGATTATTTTTTAATATTTTGATGATTAACTAGAACACACAGTTGGTTAATAAGTATAGGCAAGCTTTTTTCTTTCTTTGACTTTCTAATCTATTCATGGTTGGTCAAGTGTTAGACAGGTGTTTGTTTTTCTGTTCTTTGACCAAAACTTTTCTCATTAACATGTACTCTGTTGTGTTTTACGTTTCTATGCAACACAGTTTCTAAGAAGTGCATGTGACCACAGGAGCGTGCAGTATGTAGCAGTGACTATGGAGTCTATCAGCTCAAGGTGAAATACAGGTCACCTAGTGCCACAGTTAGCTAGGATTCTTTCCCACAAAAATTTTCTTAGAGGCTTTAATAACTTTATAATCAATCTAAAATCATAAACTCATATCTTTACTTTATACGCCTTTATAGGGCACAGTAGGCAGCAAACTAAATTTCTCCTTCTTATCTACATTTCTCTTTCTTCTGTGTAGATACCAAAATCTCCCTGACATACGCTACACAGGTCTCTATGACTCCACTACTGCAGGGACTAAACAAGTTCTTACATGGTGAACAATGCAAGGGCATTCATATCATAGAAACTGTTTCTGTTTTAACTACAAACCTTAAACTATAAACAATCATGTCAAATATAATGTATGATTATTCATTTGATTTTTACACTTTATATGTGAATCTAATAAAATGTTGATGTAGTAGGTAAATGCAAGATATAGATAGAAAGCATGATTTAGAACTGTAAGAAGGCAGGTGTAGATGATCAGGTTTGTGCTTACAGACCAGGTCTTAATCCAAGCTGAACAAGGGCAACAAAACATCCACAGGTGTAGAAGATTTCTCTCAAAACTGGGGGGGTGAGGTTCTAAGCCTCACCTCTGTTGGCCCCCTTTTTCTCACCTGATGGCCCCCTGCGACTGTGCCTGTCTTAGGTTGTTCCTCCCTTGAGGAATCTTACCCGTCTCTGGCTAACCAGCCATCTTCCGGGGCCATACAGGGAGATGTAAAGCTGGTAAGTGAGAGAGAAGTAATATTCTTTGAAAAGGTTAGTTTTTCACTTCTTTGCAGATTTATGCTCCATGGCTTCTATGCCCAGCACTTGTTTTGAGGTATCTTTACTTCCTGGAAAATCATGGTGCTTGGTAATTTCACGTATGAGGCACAAATTCTAGTAAAGGGCTGTGATTAGGAAAGAAGAAAAACAAACTATAGAAGTAGTAGAAGGAAGAAAACATGAAATGATTAATTGTCAACAGTTATTCTATTCAATATTTTCTCATGACTCTATTTCTATAAAACTTTTCATCACTAGTTTCACTAGCATAAACAAGGGGGGCATTCTCAGTGGAAATGGGGTGGTCAATGTTTGACTAACAGCAGGTTTCGGTACTTTATGCTAAGATCACCATTTGGCCCTGCGTGTTCTATTCTTCAGGAGCACCGTCCTGAAGAGCTTCTGGGAAGTTTATGTTCTCATCTTTTCCGTGCTGCTTAGCAAAGGTTAGCTTAGTCTTTGGCAACAATGCAAGTAAAATCAAAGCCAATAGTATAATGGAAAATAACAAAATCAAGGTGGGTAACAGAGGGAGCCAACTGCGAAGACCCCTGATTTGTGGGGGTCTTCCTCCAGCCTGAGCTTTGCTACACAGCTTGAGTAGCATGGCTCCAGCATCCAAGGCCAGTTTTCCCTGGGAGTATATATACACGAATATTTAATAGGTCTCCTGTTAACGTGGGACAACCCTAAGACAACTCTTTGAGTTTGCAAATGTTTTTATTGGCTGTACGGAATGGAAGGTCTCTGAAAATGGCGGCCTCCAGAAATATAATCCTCATGGGCGTGGCCATGTCGTCCGCCTGACACTGTCCTTGAAAGAAAAGGGGTGGGGGGAATTAACGTAAGCTGCAGTACGCCATGATAACTATTGTCAGGGAATGGCTTCAAAGATCTTACTGAGCATGCGCCAAAGAGATGATGCCCGAAGTCCGACCCAGACCGGAGATGTCCCGGAGCAGCCATTTCGCCCATGTTGTCTACTGTTTCTATCCCCTCTGTCGCAAACAGGACGCTGAGGTGATTTGGAATGTTGGCAGTGGGGATCCTGGGGGATCCGTGAGGGGAAATGGCCTTGGGGTGAGGGACGAGGGGGACTAGACGTGTGATGAGCGCCTATGGAAGGGGTGATGGGGCTGTTTTCTGATGTGCTTTGGGAAACTGGCTCCTTGATTTTCACTCCTTCTTTGGGTATTTTCTGTATGTGTATAAATATTTTTGTAACCTAAATTCCAAGTGCATTTTAATACGATTTTATACTGTTGGCCAATGACATTTGCTCATTGAGGGCGGTGAACAGGTGTGTTAAGAGGGCTCCAGGAGATGGTACTGGGGGATATCAGCGGAGGCGATTCAGTGCTTGGGCTCCCGTGGGAGGCAGCGATTGGAGGTGGGATCTTCAGAGAAGGAGGACTTTGAGGTCACATTGTAACACCGGGAGCACAGACTGGAGAACTACAGAAATGAGGAGAGAGGGGTGCTGAGGGACGCAGATGGGAGCCCGTCAGGAGGCCTAGGGGCTCAGTGACGGGGATGGAGGCTGCGAGGCCTCTCTGTGCCCTTTGGACCCAGTAAGGGTCAGTGATTGGCAGTTGGGCAGGTCAACGACGATTTCCTACTAGGGTGCATTATTGGGAACCCCATGTTGGAGATTACTTGGGGTCCTGTGGAAACCACATTCCCAGGAAATGCTTGTGGGCAATTGGGAGTGATGATTTCAGGAGCCTGGCTGTGGTGGTGATGGGGAGGCATTTCGTGACCTCCTGGCAATCCTGCCAATGACTGTTAGGGTGTGCATGGGGTGGGGGGCCACTCATGCGGACAGGCCAGAAACTAAGTGATTGGGGTTCCTGGTGCATGTCTGTGGGTTTTCCAGGTGAAGGTGGGTTTTGAATACAGTGAACTGAAGTTTGTCAGGAAATTCTGGGCTATCTAGGCTATTATGGAGAAGTCCAGGAGCTTGGACTAGACTCACTAGATGTGGCCAGCAAGAACCTTCAGCTCTCTGAAGGCAGCAGGAAATGGAAATGTTGTTTCTGGAAGCTGACCACGTAGGAGACCACCTGGGATAGTGGTGACTGTGTACAGATGTGCAACCTTAAGGCAAATGAGGTAACGGCTTTCAGCCTTAGTTTGCCCATCCATAAAATGGGTATGATAATGGTCGTAATATTTACCCAAGGGTGTATGAAAATGTTAGATGAGGAACCATGTGGTCATTGCCTTTCCAGGACTTCCTAGTGTCTCTGCAGAATGCCTGGGTCAGGTCACAGCACGGAGGCTGCAGGATCTCCCCTCACAGTCCAGCCAGCATCTCCCCGGCAGCTCTGACTGGAGCCTCCAGATGCCTATCCAGCCTCAGGCTCCTGGACAAGTGGAGTTGTCAGCAAGATCAACAAAGAGGTGAAGCCGGGGGATCATGCCTGCTGATGTGACTTTACCCCAGAGGCCCCAGGTCCTGGGTGCAGAGGAGCAGGTTGGAGCATGTGAGGTAAGCAGGAACCCAGGGGCCGTTCTCCAGGACTCGACGGCAGACACAGGAAGCAGCAGATCCCAGCCTCCCAGTAGCTGAGACAGTCTGGGCCCTCTTGCTGAGAGTGGACGGCGGGGGCGGATGTCCCCTCACCCACAGGCCTTGTGTGTTAGAGTGTAAACTGGTGCAGAAGGATGTGTTGGAGGAGAGGGTTGGCCCCGGGTGAAGGAAAAAGAAAAGGTAGCCCCCGATGTGGGTGGGAAGCTCCAGGCCCAGGCGGGGAAATCCTCCCTCCCTGCTCAGCACCGGAGAGCCATCACCCTCCACGGTCTTTTCATATTCTCAGCTGGTCCCCACCTGGTTTTCCTTCCTGTTCTGTAGGGTTGGCTTGTTTTCCCTCTGCCCTCAGTTTATAGAGTCACAGGATGACAGAAGAACTGGCTTTTAAGGACTATATGGTTTTTCCTGTTTTAAAAGATGAATAAAAATATGCCACAGAATAGTGTTTCCAAATTGCCCACAGATATCATTATTTGATATTTGGGAACAAGAAAGCAGGATTCATGGGTATACTCAAAATTTCCTGAAATTCCAAGTTACTCTGTGTTTAAAGACACTCTCTTTACATGTTTTAAAGTAATAATGAATGACCATACTTAATAAACAGTGCATTATTGTCCTGTGCTATGTTTATACTCAAAGTTACAGAGAGATTCTGTTCAAAAAAGATATAACACATGATTTATTAGCACTGTGAACCAGTATACTGTGAGAATATTAGGTCATGAAAATGCAATCACATGGTTGCTTCCCCTGGCAGCCCATCCTTAGGTGGGGGTCCAGAACTCACCTCATTAACATAACACGTTCATCACTCTATTACTTAGGAAATTCCAAGGCTCTTTTGAGTTCTGCCAAAAACAGATACGACCAGCATAATAGCAATGTAACCAATGTAATAAATATTCTTAATCCCCCTAAATACATAGGTATTTAGGAATAGGTAGGTTGTGGGAAGTATTATGTCATGATGAAAAATTTGTCAAAAATATGCCTCTCCACGTAACTTCCCCATTCACCACCGGTAGCTAATTCACGTTGAGCTGGGCTATGGTGTTACAGAGGTCAGTGTCATTCGAGGACATTTCCATGGACTTCAGCAGGGAGGAGTGGCAGCAGCTGGACCCTGCCCAGAGACGCCTGTACCAGGATGTGATGCGGGAGGTCTACAGCCACCTCTTCTCTGTGGGTAAGCACACCTTCTGGTGAGTTTTGGATGGGCCTTGTTGTTGAGACTGACTTTCTTCCTTGTGGAATGCGAAGGGGCACCTGAACTATGTAATCATTTTGCCTTTGGTTTGTCCCATATTGTTCATCCTTTCTGGGCACCTTTGAGTATTGCTTTGTTCCTAGTGAAAGAGGTTGACTTTTCGGGCATGAGCCACTGAAAAGCTTTGCTGGCTTCTAAAGCCAAAGACCGCATCCACATCTGCTCTTTTCTCATTTACAGGGTATCACATTCCCAACCCAGAGATCGTATTCAGGATAGAGACAGGAAAGGAGCCATGGATGGGGAAGGCTGAACTCCTACATCAGAAGCATCCAGGTTGGTGACCATTACCCTGTGGGATGTGGATATATTTGGGGGCCATCATTCAACCTACCACACTTATCCATCCCCCAGTGGTGGGCATTTAGATTGTCTCCTACTCCAGTTTCTACAACTAATGGCTGTAGTCCATTATCTTGTGAATGTCCTGTGGGGGCCGGTATAAGAACTTCTCAGGTGAATTCTCAGGAGTGGGATTGCCTGATCACTAAATGTAAGTATACTTACTATAACTAAGGAAACCATATTGCTCTTCAGATGGGCTGCACACAGCCTACACTCCCATGTGAGAAAGTGCAAGGATCTGCATTTGTGCATCTTGCTTGCCAACACTCAGCATTTTTCATATTTTTCGTTTATGGCCCTTGTGATAGGTGATGCAACTATTTCATGTTTTAATTTCATTTTTCTCATCCAAATAGAGCATCTCATATCTGTTATATGATTGGGTTTTCCAGCTGTACATTGCTTTTGTCGTCTTGTTTTATCCCTCTGTGTCCATGGAGTTTTCTTTTTGTTTTTTGTTGTCTTTAACTTTGAAGATCTAACTGGTTTTATTAAGCAATTCATGAATCGGGCAGCATGCCATCAAGCATATAGAGAAATGCTTCCCATGGAATTTTCTTAAGGCCTTTTAATTTTTCCCCTGAATTCAGTGATTTTTCTTTTCTGTCTCTAGATCTTTCTTCTTTTCCCCTAATTGTGGAGCCTCCAGCTTGGGGCCCTACACTTTCCTCTGGTCATGTCTTCATAAAGGAATTACCTTAAAGGGCTGCCCTTCAGCTCTGGACACTTCAGTCTCAACTTTTTTCTGATGATCCTTATATGTCTCCAGTCAGATGTTGCCTTATAGCACCCTCATCTGTGTCATCATGTAGTCATCCCATGGTCTGGGTATCTCTGGGTGTCTAGGCCGCCTACATAAGTGGAGTCAGGTTGCCTTTTCTCAAATATAATTTTTCCCACAGGCTAGCAAAGTGATTTTGGCCAGTTAACCATTCTATGCCTCACCTTTATCTGTAAAACAGGGATAATAGGTGTAGTTACCTCATGGAGTTGTGTGAGGATTAAGTGAGTTTATATATGCATCATGTAGAACACTGGCATATGCTAATGCTGTGTGCTATATAGACATGTGCTTGACATATAAGGGTAGTGAGACTGTTCCCTCTCATCATCACCATTATTATACAACCCAGCAGTTTCTCCATTCAATCTCAGTTGGTTCCATTGATTTCTCCTCTATCTCTGCTAACTTGTCTATTTCACCTTGTTTTTCTCCTAGAAGGAGAGCTTGGACTTGAAACCTCACAACAAGAAATTTTTGGGAAAACCTCATTTTATGACAGTAAGGCAGGTGAATTCAAAAGAGGTGGTTCATGGTGTTCCATCTTAGAAGAACAATGGCAAGATGTTGACCATACAAAGAGAGATCAGCTAAATCAAAATAAACCTTCACACCATGGGACTTGCCTCAACAGGAAAATACTGAGTACAGAGCAAGAGCATGAATATAAGGACCCTGGAAAAATCAGTCACGTGAGGCCCCACCTAGTTTCTTCACAAGAAAGACCTCATAAATGTTGCTTATTTGCAAAAAATGTGAAGCCTAATCTAGAAGTAAATGGTCAAAATCCAAGCAATGTCACAAAACACCTTGGGGAGGTCATTGGATCTGGTCAGCTGTTCACCCATAGCTCTTGCAGTGCTTGCTACAAGAATATTCATACAGGAGAGAACTTGCACAAAGGTAATCAATGTACTAAAGTCACCAACCATAAACAGCCACTCACCCAACATCAATATCATAGTCTAGAGAAACTGGATAAATGTACTGAATGTGGGAGGGATCTCACCCAAAAGTCACAATTCCTCAAGCAACAGAGATTCCATAGTGTGGAAAACCTACAGGAATGCAGCAAATGTGGAAAAGCCTTCACCTTACAACCAAAACTTGGTGTATATCTGACAGATCATACAGGTAGCATACCTTATTTATGTAAGGTATGTGAGAAAGTGTTCATTCAGAGGTCAGAACTGATTACACACCAGAAAACTCACACTAGAAAGAAGCCCCACAAATGCCATGAATGTGGAAAAGCCTTTTTCCAGATTTTATCTCTCTTCAGACATCAGAGAACTCACACTAGAGGAAAACTGTATGAATGCAGTGAATGTGGAAAAGGCTTCTCCCAGAACTCAACCCTTAGTATACATCAGAAAATTCACACTGGTGAGCAACAGCATGTATGCAGTGAATGTGGAAAGGCCTTCACCCAGAAGTCAACACTCAGCCTGCACCAAAGAATCCACTCAGGGCAGAAGTCCTATGTGTGTATTGAATGTGGGCAGGCCTTCATCCAGAAGGCCCACCTGACTGTGCATCAGAGAAGTCACACGGGGGAAAAACCGTATCAGTGCCACAACTGTGGGAAATCCTTCATTTCCAAGTCGCAACTCGATATACATCATCGAATTCATACTGGGGAGAAGCCTTATGAATGTAGTGACTGTGGAAAAACCTTCACCCAAAAGTCACACCTCAATATACACCAGAAAATCCATACTGGAGAAAGACACCATGTATGCAGTGAATGTGGGAAAGCCTTCAACCAGAAGTCAATACTCAGCATGCATCAAAGAATTCACACTGGAGAAAAACCTTACAAATGCAGGGAGTGTGGGAAAGCCTTCACTTCCAAGTCACAGTTCAAGGAGCACCAGAGAATTCACACTGGAGAGAAACCTTACATGTGCACAGAATGTGGGAAGGCTTTCAACGGTAGGTCAAACTTTCATAAACATCAGATGACTCACACCCGAGAGAGAACTTTTGCCTGTTACAAATGTGGGGATGCCTTCATCCAGAAATCCCAGTTGATAACACATCAGAGAACTCATATTGGAGAGAAACCATATGAATGCTGTGACTGTGGGAAATCCTTCAGTAAGAAGCCACAACTCAAAGTGCATCAACGAATTCACACAGGAGAGAGGCCCTATGTGTGTTCTAAATGTGGGAAGGCCTTCAACAACAGATCAAATTTTAATAGACACCAAACAACTCATACCAGAGACAAGTCTTACAAAAGCAGTTACTCTGTGAAAGGCTGTACCAAGAAGTCAGTTCCTAGCATGCATCAACAGATACATAAGTGAAACAAACTCTCTCAATTTCTTAAAGAAAAGAATCTGATAAGAGTGAGGTTTAATTGTACCTTATAGAATTCATGCTTTAGAAAACTCTAGGAATGCATTGTATGTCACAAAATTATATATCTTATGTAAGGAAAGGAAATTATTTAGAACTTTTATGAATAGAATACCCATATTTGTACTAGCTGCATTAAGGATTATAAAATCCATCTGGGGAGGAAATCTGACTGCTGCATTGAGAGAAGTGTTTCTGTAGAAAGTGATACAAAGTAGGTTGTTACCATGTTGTTTTTAGGAAAATTCCTGGGAAATTATATTAATAACCTAGTTTGGTTTAATGTGGGATATCAATATTTTTAAGGTGCCAGCAAACTGAATGATGACAGCATTACATGTGTGTGTGTGTATGTATATATATGTGTACATTTGTATGATCAGGTTATATATGTGCACATACACATGCTACAAATACACTGCATTAACAGAAGGTGTTGCATAGTCAATAATTATATTGACACATGAATGTACATTCTGGTAAATGCATAACTAATTCTGTAAGGTATACTGGTCCTCACAGTGTTATTTTGCTCTTTCATGATTAGCTGAGCTCTGCCCTCCCCTTTTTGCCTCCACCATCTATGGTGAGCCTCTCCATAGATAATCAGTGTCAACCTTTTAGTCTGGGTTCTTTCATATTTTTATACAGGCTCCTAAGCACATATACCACAATTCAGCAAACTGGCCAATAACCAAATCCGGCTGGCCACCAGTTTTGTTTTTAAATAAAGTTTTATCAACACAGTCATGTTCATTTGTTGATATGTTGTCTGGCTGCTTCCACACTACAATTGTAGAGCTGAGTGGTTGTAGCAAAGTTCCTATGGCCTGGAAGCCAAAAACACTTAATCTGGCCCTTTATGGGAGAAGTTTGCCAACACATGTTTATTCCTATGCTCATAATCATATACCTATGTAGGAACTCTTGCCTGTTTGTTTCATAAATACTGGATATCATACATGCGTGTGCATCTTGTTCTTTTCATTCTACAACATCTGTTCAGTGGCTGCATGGTGTTCTATCATTCAGACATGCTGTAATTGATTTAGCCATCCTCACATTCTTATTATTATTTACTCCACTTTTTTTTTTTTTTTGGCTACAAGAAAGAAACAGAAGAGCATAGTCTTTAAGTGGACAGGCCCAGGAGCCAGGTCGCTATATTGGATTTTACATTAATCAGGCAAGTTATTAAACTCATCTGTCCTGGTTTTCAAAAGGAAGATGATAACAGTGCCTACCCCAAAAGTTTGCATGAGAAGTAAAGGGGTGTGTGTCAAGCACTTGGCACTGCTTGGAGAGAACCAGTGCGGGGTAGACTGAGTGGGAACCTGTGTGAATAAATGCATGGAAATGAAAGGGCGGGGGCAGAAGGGAGAAGCAAATAAACTCTCTTTTAATAAGAAACTAGGTGGGATGGGTGGGAGGGCTGCACCGCAGCCCTAGTCTCAAGGGCTCCTTTCCAGCCTTCAGATACCCTTCAGCTTGGCACTGGGGGTCCTGGGACTTGGACGCTGATGTCCACAGTGAGGTTGGTGTAGAGGGCCTGCAGCTCCTTGGAGAGCAGCCTGTAGCCCAGCGAGTTCACGCCGTCATAGCGCCACCTGTGCTGGATCGGGACCCGAAGGCCAGGACTGGGGGAAGGGGGCAGCCATGTGAGGCCAAGGCTCAGGAAGGAGCGGGACGGGGGGGACGGGCCATCCCCACTCCAACCCCGACTCACCTCTGGGGCCTCTGCTGGTGACTGGGGGTCTGCACCTCCTCCAGCATGTGGTAGCGGCCAAAGAGCCGATGCGGCCGGGAGAGGAGCATCCCGCTTAATTTCAGCCTTACAGGGGAGAAAGCAGGGAGGCCAGATGCCTGTCTCCTCTGATAGGGTCTCCGTGCCACAGCCCACCCTCAGGGGGAGGCCTGTGTCCCCCTTAGGCCAGGGTGGTCCATGTCCCCAGCATCAGGGAGGGACCTGCAGCCCCCTGTGCTAGGGTCTCCAGAGCAAGGCCCCCCCACCTGGCAGCGATGTCACTGTCCTCACGATCCCAGCCCCAGTGTGTGCTGGGGAAGCCGTTTATCCTCAGGTAGTGAACCGGGCGCAGAGCAAACACTCCTCCGAGGTAGCCTCCGTGAGGCAGCCTGGAGAGGCAGGGGGTTAGGGGTACAAGGAATCGGGCCAACAGGAATCTCTGCAGCCAGGATCTCCAAGCTTGCTCTGGGTTCGCCCTTCTCCCACCCCTGTGACGACCTCTCCCCTGACCCCTAGGGTGTCCCCTAGGAGTCCTCCCCTGTCTCCTTGAGATAGCCCCTCCCTTGACTCCTGGGATATCCCCTGAGTTACCTGACTGGTCCAACTTTTAACCCCACTGATGGGCTCTTCTGCCCAGACCCTGTGGATAACCCCTTCCTGACCCCTTGCCAGCCCATCCTTATATGCATTTCTCTCTTCTCTGACCTCTTCTAATGACCCTCTCTGCCTACCACTGACCCTCAGCTGGTAACTATCCCCACCACACTGGACACCTGCAGCCAAGAGGAAGGTTCTTCACTGTCCACAGGGCCTGTCCCCAACCCCACCGTGCCCCCAACCTCAGCCCCAGGGATAAGGCCTGGATGGTACAGACGGGCAGGACAAGGTCAAGGGCAGGGCAGAGCCGGGCCAACCATCCCCCACAGGAGGTTGCCTCCCCCACCTACTTGTAGTTGAATTTATCAATGGCCACGGACACATGGGCGGGGAAGATGTCACAGACGTAGAGGTTGCGGTCGTCCTCCGGGAGGAGGTTCACATCATGGAAGATGACGCAGTCCCAGTCCTCCTCCTGCATGGCCTCCCAGAACCCCACATTGCGCAGCCTGCCCCGGTTGAAGGCGGTATTGTTCACCTGGGGTGGACAGGGTGGTTCTCGGGTGCCCACTCTCCCGGCACCTCAGACTGTCCTGCCCTCACCCGCAGGCAGTGGTGGCCACCTGCAGGGCTCACCCTCTCTCCCCTTTTCATTGGCATTCTCCCATCTGGAATCCCTTCTCATTCCCACTGTGCGTCTGGAAAGCCCTGATTTGTCCAGGAAGGCACAGGTCAAAGGTTGCCTCCCTGGGAAGCGTTTCATGGATTCCCAGCCCTGTCCGGGGCTGAGTCAGTATCCTCAGCCTTGAGAGGTTTTGTGGACATGACTCTCCCCTCCTCTGCCATCTTCAAAGTTCTCAGGAATCTCCAGAGGGGGCCGGAGGTTAGGGGAGATCTGGGACCACCTGTGTCCGTTCCTGCTCCTACCAAAGACCGGACGGGATGCCCAGGAGCCTAGCGGGGTCTGCCTCTTCCCCTCCTCTGCGTCCTCCATCGTCACTGTCTTCATCGTTCTCACCACCTTAAGCATCACGACCCCCACTGGCCATCATCACCACCTCCACTATCTTATCTTCAACCCCCTCAGCACAATCACCTCACCTCCAGCAGCAGCGTCACAACCGTCAGCGGCAGCAGCATCCTGATCATCATCATTGCCAGAATTGTCACCATCATCATTAGCTATCATTTCGTGAGCACCTACTACGTGCCAGGCACTGGCCTCACTGCTTTACATCCATTAACTCAATGAACTCTACCTACAACCCAATGATGCAGGTGTTATCATCATCCCTGTGTCATGAATGAGACAACCATGGCACAGAGGATAAATTCCCGAAGTTTATACCTAATTATGCTGAGTAACAGTGTGTTGAGAGGACGGATGCATGCATGATGGATGGACAGATGGATGGATGATGGATGAATGAATGGTTGGTCCTACACTCAGACTACACGGGTAGTAATGGGCAAGAACAGGATTCAAACAAACATCTACTCTGCTCCCAAACGCAGTGCTTTAACCTACCCCTTAGCTTCATTGTCCAATCTGGCCGGTCCCGGTCTCAGAGAGGCCCAGGCTCAGTAGAACAGACAGCCTCTCAAGCTGATCCCAGCCCTCGGCCACTCGAAACCAAACCTAGAGCCCTTCGCTCTGATGTCCTCCAATTCACCTTCTTCTTGACTCATACAGGTCCAGCCCTCCAGAAAGTCCGTGGCCCAGACACTCTCAGCTCAGAGTGACAGCGTCAGCCATGCACGGCCATGGCCAGGCTCACACGGCCCTCCTGCCCAGCCCCCCATGCCTGCCGCACCTGGTTCACCACGTAGATGGCATAGTGCAGCTGTTGGCGCTGCAGGAAGGGGTGCAGGTGGAAGAGCAGGTGCTGCAGGTGCTGGGCCTGCCCATAGTAGGGCACCACGATTGCCGTGTGGTGCCGGGTCCAGCAGTCTGGTGGCCGGTACTGGCCTCCCACCTCCACCAGTGGGTTCTTTTCCACCACCTGCTCCATCGTCAGGCTCTCTGGGATCATCACTTTCAAGGGGCCATCTGAGAGAGGCAAGAGGCCAGGGATGGTCAGGGACCTACCCCAGAAGCCCCATAACCCTGTTGTGCCGGGTTGAATCATGTCCCCCACTCACCCACCCACCTCCAGGTTCGTATACACCCAGAACTTCAGAATGTGACCTTATCTGGTAATGGGCTCTTTGTAGACATAACTGGTTAAAATGCAGTCACACTGGATCAGGGTGGGCCCTAAATCCAATAACCAGTGTCCTTACAACAAAGCCACGTGGAGACCCACAGAGAAGGTGGCTGTGGAGGCAGAAATTAAAGTGGTGTGCCCACAAAGCTACGGATTGCCAGCAACCTCCAGCAGCTAAGAACGCAGGATAGCTCCTCTCCCGGAGTGTCCAGAGGAGCCGACCCTTGCCAACACCTTGATTTCAGACTTCTGGCCTCCACAACTGTGAGAAAGTACATTTCTGTTGTTCTAAGGCCCCCGGTTTGCGGCACTTTGTATGGCAGCCTGAGGACGCCAGGGCAGCACAAGGGCCTCCGAGCTGCCCACTTCCTGCCTTCCTGGTTCCCCCTCAGCCTCTTAGCACCCCCTGCTCTGATTCTTCCCTCACAGCCCCCCGGGGCCTGTTTCTCCCCCCCACCCGGCCAAGCTCGTCACCTCCTGTCGCTTTTCTTCCTGGACCTCAGTGATCCTAAATCTGCCCCCAAGCCCCAGCTCTACCCTACCTCCTGGACGTCTCCTCCCGGGTGGATCTCAGGCTGCCCCCTCTCCCTGCACCTCAGACGGCCCTCCTCCTCAGTGCCCTCTCCCACCATCCACCTGCTCAACCCCAGCTGGGCCTCCTCTTTTCCTGTGGCAGGCTACGTTCTTTCCAAAGACAGGCACAATATCGCTTATCCAACCTCCCTTCAGTGTGATTTTAAATTAACATCCTCCTATTGAGAGATTAGTCTGTGTCCCCACCCCTTAAAATCAGTGGGCTTTCATGCCTGCTTCAGTAAACGGAGTGCAGCAGAAGTGACACTATGTGGCTTTTGAGGGCAGATCATAAAAGGCCACATGGCTTCTGCCTGGTCTATGCAAATATGTGCTCTTGAAGCCCTGAGGCCACCACGTTGGGAAGAAGCCTGAACTAGCAATGTGGACAGACTGTGCAGAGAGAGCCTGAGATTACATGAAGAGCCTGAGGTGCCCAGCCAGCCCCCAGGTGCTAACACCACTGGCTCAGCCACATCTCACTGCAACTGCATGAGACGCTGCGCCTACAACCGTCCGGCTGAGCCCTTCCCAAATCCCCAGCTCGCAGAAACATTCAGAGTTAATGACCGTCTAAAGACACCACATCTGGGGAAGATGCGCTATGATGCAGCAACAGATAACCAGCACACTCTCCGTCACCCCAGCCTCCAGGCTCTACCTCTCCTCGGGGCCACCTGCCAGCTCCCCAGAGCCAAGGGGTTGGGGTACAGGCGGCTCCCCAGGCTTACTGATAAAGGGAGAGATGTCAGGACAGTTGGGCAGGTCCTCCTCACTGGTGTCCACGGGGCGGATCTGGCTGAGGTTGGAGTACACGTCCTGACGAGGTGCTCCTGGAGAGGAGACCTGGGCCGGGAAGGGCAGCTCTTCCCCTTCCCCTGGCCTGGCCCGGGTTAGGAGGCGCAAGAAGGAGGTGAGGCCCTGGCGGTAGTGGTTTTGGCGGAGCAACGCCCCCATGAGCAGCAGCTGCACCACCAGAAACAGGAGCAGGAGCGCCCTCTGCCGTGCCATTCTGGGAAAGGAAATAGGAGTCACTTCCCATTTGGCACAACCCTTGCTGTTACCCCTCATGGTGTAGCCTGGGACCTACGCCCACCCTTCCCTGGCTGGCTCTGCGCCCTCCAAGGTGGGAAGGCCGCTCTGGGCCCCTGTGAGGAGAACCTTCCCTGTGCTCGATTCTGGCCTGGCCTCCTCCAGCCAGGCCCCTTCCAAACCCTACAGTCACATGGATGCCAGGGCGAGCAACTCAAGTCTCTCTAAGGCTCGATGACCTTGTCTGTAAAATGGGGCCCCACTGGACAGGCCTGTTGGGTTGCTGGGCTGGCGCACACAATGTGCCCAGGTCAGGGTGCGACTCCACCCAGTGTTACACCAGGCCTGGGCCTGGCTGTAACACCTCCAGCAAGCTGCATGGAAGGGACCGGCCCCACTCTGGCACCTTCTGCGTGCCCTTCCCGACCACAAGCACCAAGCAGCCCCCAGTGGCTTCCACAGCCTCTCTGTCTCCCTCTACCCATTCTGGGTTGTGACTGTCCATGTCAACCTCACCCATCAGACTGGGAGCTTGCAGAGAGCAGAGGCCAGGACTGACTCAGCTCTAGGTGCCTGGCATTTCCCAGCACAGGAGGCCACAGAAATGGAAGATGACAAGTGAATGAGTCCAGGCAGATGCTATTCTCCCCCGGACAAACTCTGCTCATCCTCCCGAAGCCATCATGCGCACGTGGGCCGCCTGGGGTGTCGCCTCCCAGCCCTTTGCGCTGGGCTCTCCTGGTCCCTGGCTCTGTGTCACAGCTCTGGCCACCAGAACGGGGATGATCTGTGTCCAAGTCTCCGTCACCAGCAAGAAGGGCAGGCTTGGACATGATGCATCTCTGGCACAAGGGTCGAGTGCTCACGTATTTGTTCATCTAGTTATTAAGCACCCGCGTGATGCCAGGCACTACTGTGGGAACCAAGGAGATGGCCGCGGGCAAAATCAACACGCACCTCTACCCCTGTGTTCTGGTGGGGACGACAGGCAAGAAAACGGGTAATTTCAGAGAGTGATACAAACCTATAAATGAAAGGGCAGAGAAACGGGGCAGGGAGTAAAGAAACGGTGGGAGGCTATTTCTGCTGGGCTGCCTGGTGCCCTCACATTTAAATCAAGACCTTGAGGACAGCAAGCAGCCGCAGGAAGTTTCTGGCAGAGGGAACAGCGATGTAAAGGCCCTGAGGTAGGAAGGGGGAGAACATTAGGAAGAGGGCAGAATGGAGAGAGGGGAGATTGGGGAGGGTCTTCGGGTCTCGGTGAGAGTTGGGGAGCCATGCGACCTGACTCGCTGTAGAAACTATTGCTCTAGGGAGGTGTCCCCAGCTGGGGCAGTGCCTCCACCCCCAGGACATCTGGCAAGGAGGGACTTCTGTCAGGACTGGTGGGGGGTGTTGCTGTCAGGACCTGGCGGGCAGAGGCCAGGGCTGCCGCGGAACATCCTAGGGTAATGAGAGCCATGTGGCTGCACCCCTGCAAACCAAAGCGGCCCGGGCTCTACAGCAGCGGGGTCTGTTCTTCACCAACGGGAGGCGCGAAGGCAGGAGGCCTCCCTCCCTCCCCTCCCCCTGGTCCTCTTTCCCCAAACTTCTTGGCCTTGGCCTGGGGCGGTGTCAGCATTGCTCCTAAGGACCAGGCAGAGTTCTGAATTCTTGACTTTCAATAGACCCTCTGAAGGCCGGGACTAGACCCACGGTCCCAGAAAGCTTCCCTCCAGCCACAGCAGGAGAATGAATCCCGCGGTGGAGGGCTGGGGGGTTTCTGTGATTTTTTTTCCCTGTGCTTCAGGGGCTCTTAGCTGATGTGTGGAGTCCTGTTTTGCATTTACTGCTCGGAGCAAAGCGCGCTCTGTTTACAGTGGAAACTGGTGATCCCAGGGGAAGATGGCAGAGAATGGGATGGGTTCAGGGGAAGCCCTGCTGCCCAGGTTCCTCCCAGAGGCGCCTTTAGGCTGGAAGCTCTTGGGTCCTGTGAGCGGAAATGAGTAGGATTTGCGCTGCTCCCGATGATCATTCTGAAGGCAAAGGTGACAAATATGAAGAGAAGCGTGACAGACCTTGGCAAAGCGCGGACAGTCATACACGGGCTGGAGTCCTTGCCACTAAATCGACAAGTATATATTTGGATGACCTAAAAAATTATCTCATTACAGGAGCAGGCTCAGAACTGAATCTCCCAAGTGGGCCAAAGGCAGAATGCGATCAAGGAGAGAAAATCCTTACATTCTGGAGACTGGAAACAAGAATGCAATTTCTGCAGGGAATTCTCTGCTGGGGGACAGGCATGAGGAACAACCAGCTGGTGGGATTTCTTCCAGCTTTTCACCTGGAAAGGCAGCTTTGCAAAGGACGGAATTTGTAGAACACCGTGCAGGCTTTGGAGGGGGATTCCTAGTGTTGGACACGCTTCCTTCCAAGCAGAATGAGAAACACCTCCCCAACATATATGATGGAAATGCACCCAGTTCATGCGCAGAAGACAACCAATTGTCAAGTACATCTCAGGAGCCTCGGCTGGACGCGGTGCTGTCCTCTGGGACCGACACTAGTCTCTGAATGCCCTGGTGGAGTTGGCCCAGCAGCGACGCAGACGTGCTGAAGAGTGGGGCTCAGAATCATCCCCGTTTGCCAGCTTGAATGCTGAGGCTGGGGGCTGCCTGCGTCAGGCCACAGACCGGCCTCCTGCGAACAGGAGGTGCCAACAGGGCCGCGACGGTGACTCTGTTTCCCTTCCCCAGGCTGGGGGTGGGTGAGCGGGAGGCGTGCTGAGTCTGGGACGATGCGCGTGTTCTGGGGAGCAGGATTCTTCATGTAGGGGGCCAGGTGCACGTGGTGGTCTCCGTGGACTCGCCAGCAGAGCGAGCGTGTGGGTCACACACACCAGTGCTGGGGCGCCCGGACCCGCATCGCTGCGCCAGGAGAGGCCGCTGCTCCCCGAGTGCGGTTTGTCTCCTGGGCAGACTGGCGGAACCGGCCCCTCCCAACACCACAGGCCACAGGAGAGGCGATTTCAGAGCCTGGGAGTTTGTAGATTGCAACAGACCATCTCTTCCTCCTCGTTTTTTATTTTGAAACTCCATTAATCTTATATTTTATAATTCCTCATTTTATAATCTCTCCTGAAACTCTAGGGTTTATGGTTTAAGTCATAGCCCTACTGTATTTGGGGCTCTTGAGAGTAAAAATCTAATTATGAACATTTTTTTAAATTTGGCAGTATAGTCATGTGACTATAGGGTGTGGAAGCATGAGGGTCTACTCTTGTTACTTCCTCCAAAAACAGATTCCATTTCCCTCCCGCTGAACCCAGTATGATAAGGTCAAATGTGTAATTTTTGTCTCCCAAAGTTACATAAGATTTCAAGATTTTGACACCTTAAAACTACAGCAACTCTCATGCACGTCACGATTCAAACTGGTAGTGCAGATGCCCACACTGCCCACGTGGCATGGCACGGTTTTGCCTAGGAACTTATATTTTCATTTGTGGGAAGCGAGCTCCGTCCAGCGGTGTGAGGAGCCCACTGCGATCTGGGGGTTCCAGGAGGGTCTCCCTGAAGGAGCTGGGCGCCTGGTTCCCCGGGTTCCTAACACCCGCCCCCACCCCAGCTGTTTTCCGAGGCAGGCAAGGGGGGCAACGGTTAGAGGGGGCGACTGCCCACCGCACCCTCTGCCCCAACCAAGGACTCACGGCCCGTCTTTTCTCTGGGAAGGGGAGGAGGAGGTCAAGGGGCCGTCGGCCGGGCAATGTCACACACAGACTCTCCGAAGGCTGCACTGAACACACAGGACACGCATCAGAAAGGGGTGGGAAGGTGTGGAATCCAAACCGTCCAGAAGCCCATCTTCAAAAGAAAAGCTAACTAGAAACGTGTTTCTTCTTTAAGAATGAAACCCATTTTTTTCATCAGGAAAGTATGTTTCTGGCCAGATCTGTTAGGCTCAGAAATACATGCCCAAGTCAGACTGTTTTTGTTCTAAGGCAATCCTAAACTTCCTGCCTTCCAAGAAGGTAAGCAGTGTCTTTTGGGACCTAGAACCTGTTTCACGTAACAAAGCAGAGGTCCTTGACTGGCGTATGTCCGGGGGAGTCGGGACACTCCCTGCACAGCGACAGATGTTTCTACTCAACACATTTCAGCTAAGCTGAATCTTGGCTCATGTCAGGATGTCCTGTATTGAGACCAACCGAAGTACATAGGTCAGTGAAGCTAATTCTTTTTTAATTAACTGGAATGTTTTCAAGGATAAATTTTTCCAATTACACCGCATAAAATATCCAGGTAAAAATTAATGACCTCGATTAGAATTGGTGTGTATTCTCTAAGGTAATTAAAACCTATTTGATTTGAGTCATGTCATGAAATATTTTTCCCATTAACAGTCAATCCTCATCTCACGTCACCTTACAAAAAATATGCCTTCTCCCTCTAAGTAACAACAAAACCTTACTTAGTGTTGGAAAATTTTAAGTGTCAGCTCAAAATGGGTGACACAGTAGTGCCAAGTTTTCAAAAATGGTTGTAGTCTCCCCAGCAAGTGTTTTTTTTAAGGTATCATTGATATACAATCTTATGAAGATTTCACATGAGCAACATTGTGGTTACAACATTCACCCCTATTACCAAGTCCCCCCCACACCCCATTGCAGTCACTGTCCATCAGCATAGTAAGATGCTATAGAGTCACTACTTGTCTTCTCCATGTCAAGAAAGTGTTTTAAGACTACACACACACACACACACACACACACACAAATACACACTCAGCTCCTTTATGTCTTAGCCGGTTTCAATATTTATGACCATTGTTTTAATAATTTCTCAAGTCATAAAACAGTGGGCCATGGGAAAATTCTTATTGGATCAGAAGTACACATATAATGGTTCTTTGTTAAGGTCCCATGCCCTGGGCTGGAGGTGGGGGCGGGGGTGGGATGCGTGACTGCTATTTGCTGAGACTTGCTTGTGGTCTAGAGGAATTACACTGTCCATTAGAAACATAGGGTAAGTCACAGATGTAACTTAAAATTTTCTACTAGCCCCATTTATAAAGTAAAAATAAGCAGGTACAATTACTTTTAATGTTACACTTAGCCCAACTTATCAAAAATATTACCATTTAACATATAGTCAAAAGAAAAAGCTGCCAGATATTTTACATTTTCACATAAAGTCTTCTATCTGGTATATACATTTACAGCCACAGTTCAGGTGTTCATTAGCCACCCATGGCCAGCGGGTACTAACTGAACATCCACGCCTGCTACATCTGTACATACTGTATGTGCACCTGGCAAGAACATGTATCCTCAGACCATGGGGTAGGTGCTCCATTTCAGTCCATTAGTTGGTGGTCTTGTTCAAATTTTCCATAGCTTTATAACTCATGCTTGATTCACTACTGAGATGTATTAAAATGTCACAGTGCTTCTGGAATGCATCAAATTTCTTGTCATCCTGTTTTGTTTTCTTTTGAGACTATGTTGTTAGGTGCATCTAAATTTAGAGTTGTTTTGTCATCCTGTATTTTTCATTTGTGAAAACACTCTCTTCATTACTGATAGTGCTTTTTGACTCAAAATTTATCATTTTGTGGTGAAAGCAGCTACACTTACATTTCTTTAACTTATTTTCCTGATGTACATTTTCCTTTCCCTTTACTGTCACACTTCATTCATTAGATGTTGGTCTTGCGTATATAGCACATTACATCGTTGTTCTTAACTCTCTCAGTGATGAGACAATTCTGCTAGTTTTTATTCTTTCCACAGCAAATCTTATTTAAAAACATATTTCTTAACAATTTCCCCCTATCTAAACCAATCCGATGCGTTTGGGTTTCATTGACTAATACATTCCACAAAGGGAGTCAGGATCCTAATCAAACACTTCCCAGGGCTGGCTCACTTCATCCTCAAAGCCACCCTTTGATTTCATAGATACGGCCTAAAGTTACTCAGGTTTAACAAAAAGAGCATGAGTCCAGGCCCAAGGTTCTTTCCACTGCCTGGTTTAGAGTGTCTAGGGAAATGAGGTAGTCAAGGAAGGCTTCCTGTCCCCGTTCTGGGTAGGTCCTGAAGGATGAGTAGGCATTCATGCAAAGTAGGGGAAAGACATTCTGGGCAGAGTTAGAGGCATCAGAGAGCTTCTTAGGTAGTGGCAAAAATAGTAGCTAATATCTACAGAGCACTTACTATGGCCCAAGAGCTATTCTAAGCACTCAACAAGTATTCTCTATCCTCAATCGCAGCATCACAGACATTTTGAGCAGATTAGTTCCTTGCTGCAGGGGGCTGTCCTGTGTGCTGAGATTTAGTAACACTGCTGGCCTCTCCCTGCTGGATGCCAGTACCCCCCAACCCCCAAACACAGTTGTGACAACCAAAAATGTCTCTGCCAAATGTCCCCCAGGGGCTCAAAACCATTTCAGCTTGAGAACCACTGCTCTAATGCTTGAGGGCTGTTTTATTATCTCTGTCTTACAAGGGAGGAAATGCAACTTGTCCAGTTACACAACTGGGAGGGGAAGGATCTGAACCAGGTCACCTCTGTCCTTAACCACCACACCCCATGGTGATACTTTCCTGCCTGAGTTTTGTGTTCACTGGGGTGCAGATAACAGTAGGAGACAAGAAAGGAGACATAAGCTAGAAGCAGCTCAGTGGGACCCTGAGTACTGTGTCTGCTCTGTATAAGGCCTCATGCCCCTGGATGCTGGGAACCCAGATTCAAATCCAACCAAACCCCTCCCTCAAGAAGCTTCCAACCCAAGGAGACACTGAAATCACTGGCGGCCACAGCCCAAGGTGACAAGGCCTGTGACAAAGTGACGGATGGTGGGGCTGAAGGAGCCAAGAGGCAGCTTATTAATCCATGTGGGAGAGGAGGGGTCCTAGAGGCTTCCTGGAGGAGGTTCACCCAAGTAGCTACTTGGATGAGATACAGAAATCAGTGTGGCGGCGGGGGAAGGGAGGGTCTTCTGGGAGAGGAGACAGCGTGTGCCAAACACCTGGCAGAAAATGTATTTTGCGGACAAACATGAGAACATGCCAGAGGTTGAGAGAGAAGGCTGAAAAGTCAGGTCAAAAACACCGGGCTGAGGGCCTTGACCTTTACCCTGTAACTGATGAGAAGCTACAGCCATTTGCCCTCTCCAGAAGCCCTCTGACACCCATTCACAGTATTTCCCCCAGAATATTAAGTTAATGTGTTGCAACAAATGGAAAGAAGAAGCCTCTGCCCACACTGTGCCAGCCTGCTGAGGGATGTGGCCTCTAAGGACTGGAAGAACTGGCCCAGTCCTCAGTACTGCCAATCACTGCGGCCCCAGGGAAGTGACAGAAGGAAAGAGAACACCACCCCTCCCCCACCACTCTTTTTTCAGCACTAGTCAAAGTTTTACATATACTGACTCATATTGTTCTCGCCACAACTGCTGTTACTATCCCCAGTGGATGGATGGGGACACCCAAGCACAGGAAGGTGACATCACTCACTAGACGTCCCACAATTAAGCAGTGGGACAGGCTTCCCCCTCTTCTTTCGCCTTGCTGACGCCCACGTTGGGGAGAATTCCTTTTTTCTGACTTCTCGAAAGTTATGTGAGTCCTGCTGAGATCTGCTTAAATATTTCAAACACTTTCAAAGCAACATAGACGAAGTATCAGGAAGCGGTTGTTAACAAACGAGCCCGGGGACTAGGGGTCAACCCTCAAGACTGATTCATCAGACACCCAAATGCCTCCCAACACCCTTCACTCTCAATCCTCCCTCTCAAGCCAACAGACGCACCTGAATTTACCTACGAGTTTTTGGGTAGAAAACCATTTAGGCCAGGGCTCCTCAGCTGCAGCACTACTGTTTTGGGCCAGGTAATTTTTTGCAGGAGGCCATTCTAGGCACAGTGTTTAGTGGTATCCCTGGCCTCTACCTACCAGATACCAATCACATCCCCTCTCTTGTCCCCCAGTTGTGACAACTAAAAACGCCTCTAGACATTGCCAAATGTCCTCTGGTGGACAAAACACCTCCCAGCTGAGAACCAACTTAGATTATCTGTAGGGTGCCTGAGTTTTTGAAACCCCCATCTCACTGCTTGCTTTAAAAGAAAACAGGTCTGGTCCAGAAAGGAAACTATCTTTGATTATAGAATCAAATGAGGTAAAAATAATTAAAGTTTACTGTTTGATCAATAAACACTGTCCATGTTAACTCATTTACCTTCAGAATCTATCGGGAAGATTCTATTGTTACCCCCCTTTTATAGATGAGGAACTTGAGACGGTGCCTGGCAAGTGCAGAGTACAACGTCAAGTACATCCTAACTGCTCACTAACTGCTCTTGTTTCCCCCATGTCCTGAAAGGCAGCACTTGCAACCTCTGGGCTCCTGCAGCCCTTGAATCAGGTAACCCCACATCAAGCTCTATCACCCTATCTCCCCACCCAGGCCTGATACACGTGTGTCTCAGAAGACGGGCCTAACATAGACGAAGTATCAGGAAGCGGTTGTTAACAAATGAGCCCGGGGACTAGGGGTCAACCCTCAAGACTGATTCATCAGACACCCAAATGCCTCCCAACACCCTTCACTCTCAATCCTCCCTCTCAAGGGTCTCACAGGATAGAGACAAGATCTCAGAATATAACGTGCGGGACATGGGGCGGTTTGGGGGCTGCAAGGGGTGGGTGAGGGCTTGGACATGGGGAGCAAGGCTCCAGCTCATTCTTGAAAGAGTGCAACGTTTTTGGTTTCGGGGACTTGTGCCCCGGGGAGCCCTCCATCTCCCGGGTCTCACCTGCCCTCCATCCCGAGCTCTGCCTTCAACTCCACCTGACTGGAAGCAGGCGCATTTGTCACCAACCCACACCAACGCCTAACTGCTCACCGAATTCTCGCCCCGAGACCCGCGCACGAGTAAAGAACCGCAAACCGCTGCCTATCAGATCCGCTCACTCACAGCCGTCGCGCCCGCACGGCCAGGGCCCTCGGGCTGGGAGCGCGCGCAAAAGCCCACCCAGGCCCTGGCACACGCTGATCATTCTCTCCCCGCAGCCCGACGACTCTCCATTCGCACACAAACTTTTATCATATCACAATAGCATAAAATCTGAAAAGCATCCACCGCATTTTTGTAACAAAGAGCTCGGGGCGGCGCCGCACGCAGAAATCAGATGCCGCACCTGTTCCTGCGCAGGCGCAGACGCAGGACGCGCCGGACTGACCCGGAGCACTCTGGGAGCGGTCGGCGGAAGCGTGACGTCACAGAGAGGCCCACAGGGAGTTGTAGGCCCAGCTGGTCCCAGAGCAGTGAGCTCTTCCGGCCTAGCCGCCGCATGCGCACCTGGGAGTCGTAGGCGGGTAGATCCAAAGCTTTCTGGGAGTTGTACTCCTTTTGCCCACTTCCGCATTTTTTCGGAGTGTGGTACTACCGTCGCTGGTTCTACTCCGGTGAGTACCCCGTCCCCCGGCGGCCAAGCCCGGCCCTCGCGCGGCAGTGTAGGAATCGAGCGTCTCCGTATCACTCCCACGCATTCCTGAAGGCATCCCTGGAGAGATGGCACGCCTCTCGGTGATTCCCCGACGCCCGTCTCCGGCGACCCTCCTGGCAGGAGTGCCCTAAGCTGCTAGTGTCCCTGCTGACCCGCTTTGAACTCTGCTACCCGGTCTGACTCCCCGCTCGCACCTTGCAACCTGGGTGCGGTGCGAACTCAGCCCTCTCTATCCTGGTTACAACCTAGAATAGTCAAGACTGGCGTCGGAGGTGATCAGTCGGCCGTGGGAGCCCAGAGGAGGCGCCAGACCCAGCGCAGTATTCAGGAAAGACCTCTCACAGTATTTCCCCATCCTTCACCTCCTCCCCTCTAAATGGTGTGAGTGCCATCTGCTTTATCTCCAGAAGAGATCCAGAATCTGACCACTGAACCCTGCCTCCACTCCGCTGTGAGCCCCCATGATTGCTCACCCGGCTCATTGGAGAAGCCATCTCACCGGTCGGCTGTGTCTGCTCTTTGCCACTCTCCACCCTGTATTCACACCAGTAGCAGGATCCTGTTAAAATGTAAATCAGATCTTGCCACTCCACAGCTTAATAACGTCCAGTGGTTCTCATCTCATTAAGAATAACATCCAAGGTGCTCACCCTGCCAACCTCCAGCACCCCCTCCCCCATACCCCTCTCCCCATCCTCCACCGTCCCCGGTCTTCAGCCACTATACCCTGCAACTAACTCAACACAGGCCCTGCCTTTCAGGTCGTTTGGATTTGCTACCGACTCTATCTGGAACCTTCTCCCCACCGTGGTCATCTAATGCCCGATTCCTCCTCCATTCTGGCCTCAGCTCAGAGGATAATACCCTCACACGGCTCCTCAGATTTGTAAAGTATGTTGGTTGTTCACTTATCCGTGGGTTGGCTTTTCCACTAGAGCTTAGTGTCTGCAACCTTTCCTGTTTTGTCCACTGCTGTGTGCCCAATGCCGTGCACATACTGGGTACATAGGAGGCACTGAGAGGATTTTTGTTGAATGAACGAATGAATGAATGAAAGCTTAGGCTGAGACTTGAAGGTGCCAGGTTTACAAAGTCTGGGGGAGGAGTGTTCCAATGAGCCTATTCGAAGCGCTATCCAGGCAGCCTCCCCACAACCGCGGCCTAACAACCCGAGTCCACAGGTAACCCGCCTGCCCTCTCTCCCCATCCAGGAGAAGCCCGCCCGCCCGGCCCACGCGATGCCCGCCCCGCAGTGCGCCTCCTGCCACGCGGCCCGCGCCGCCCTCCGCCGCCCGCGCTCCGGTCAAGCCCTGTGCGGCGCCTGCTTCTGCACCGCCTTCGAGGCCGAGGTGCTGCACACGGTGCTGGCGGGCCGCCTGCTGCCGCCCGGCGCCGTGGTGGCCGTGGGCGCCTCGGGTGGCAAGGACTCCACGGTGCTGGCGCACGTGCTGCGCGCGCTGGCGCCGCGCCTGGGGGTGTCGCTGCAGCTGGTGGCGGTGGACGAGGGCATCGGCGGCTACCGGGACGCGGCGCTGGCGGCCGTGCGGCGCCAGGCGGCGCGCTGGGAGCTCCCGCTCACCGTGGTGGCCTACGCAGACCTCTTCGGCGGCTGGACGATGGACGCCGTGGCCCGCAGCACCGCCGGCTCCGGCCGCAGCCGCGCCTGCTGCACCTTCTGCGGGGTGCTGCGCCGCCGCGCGCTGGAGGAGGGGGCGCGCCTCGTGGGAGCCACGCACATCGTGACGGGTGGGCGCGGCGGGGCGTGTGCCCGAGAGGCAGAGGGGGGCTGGGGGTGCCCCAAGTGGGGGAGCCCTGTGAGGAGCAGGGGCTCTGCGTGCCCCCTGAAGTCCCTGGCGCCCGTCGCGGGTTGGGCGTGACACGCTTTTGAGTCGCCGTTTCATCTTGGCCCACACGCCCTGGCAGGTAGAGGGATGGGGGCCACACTCCAGGGCCTGGGCTGGGGGGTCTCTGCAGTTTTTCAAGCGCCACATCCTGTCTCTCTTCACAGGAGGAGGTGGGAGGATGTGTGGTCCGGTCTGAGCTTCCCCCCCCTCCGGCGCCGCTAACTCGCACCCTCCCCCAGTCGCCGCTTCAGCGAAGGCACTGGCATTCACTGTGTGCCCGACACAAGCTAGGAGCCCAGAGCAGGGCCGAGCCTGGGCTTCCCCTTTTGTGCCGTGGGCGTATTAACAATATCAAGGTCCTAGAGTGGCCGGGAATTGGGGGAGTTATGTGCGAGGCACTTAGACGGGAGCCTGAAACACTCACTGGACTTCATACAAACGTTTGCCCTTATGATGACGGACAGGACAGCCAGCCTCCGCACCTGCCCGCCTCTCACACACTAATGACGGCCTAATAAGCGCCGCTCAGGAAGGTCACACCGACTGCGGGGTGGAAACAGGGGGACCCAGAGCAGGGGGAGAGGTGGGGATCAAGGAAACGTTTCCTGGTGAGCGGGGCCTGGGCCCTTTGGCGGCTGTGCAGTCCGAGGTCGCTTCCAGCTGCGACGGAGATGGTGTTTGTGGCCGAGGCGCTCTGTCCCTCTGCACAGGGTCTGGGCTGCCGCGAGTGGGTGGCAGAGGAGGGCACCCAGGTTGCCCCGTGGGGCCCTGTGTGTGTTCCCCTCGCCTCTCCCGCTGTGCCCACCTTCAGCCTGGAGCCGGCTGCGCAGGCGACCCGGGAGCTGCGTGGTCGGGTCTCCCTTCTGCGGCCCTCGCCAGGCCCCCTCCCCGTCTCCCCGGCCGGCTGCCCCACTTGGCTTTGGTGGGCAGGGGCAGGGGTCTCCACGACCAGCCGCGCCTCGGTGCCCCTTCTCACCAGCCCCCCTCTCCCCCGCAGGCCACAACGCGGACGACATGGCGGAGACCGTGCTCATGAACTTCCTGCGCGGCGACGCGGGCCGCCTGGCCCGGGGCGGGGGCCTGGGCTCGCGGGGCGAGGGGGGCGCCCTGCCGCGCTGCCGCCCGCTGCAGCTGGCCTCGCAGAAGGAGGTGGTGCTGTACGCGCACTTCCGCCGCCTCGACTACTTCTCCGAGGAGTGCGTGTACGCGCCCGAGGCCTTCCGCGGCCACGCGCGCGAGCTGCTCAAGCTGCTGGAGGCGGCGCGGCCGTCGGCGGCGCTGGACCTGGTGCACTCGGCCGAGCGCCTGGCGCTCGCCCCGTCCGCGCGGCCCCCGGCCCCCGGCGCCTGCTCCCGCTGCGGGGCGCTGGCCAGCCGCGCGCTCTGCCAGGCCTGCGCGCTGCTGGACGGCCTGGCCCGCGGCCGGCCCCGCCTGGCCATCGGCAAGGGCCGCCGGGGCCTGGACGAGGCGGCACCGCCGCCCAGAGACGCGGGCCCTGCCGCGGGTGCAGAGCAGGGCGGCGAGTAAACAGTTCCCTGCGCCGGGCTGCGGGCGATTCTGGCGGATGGAGCCGGTTCCCTGTGGCCCCGCGGAAGCCGGGGGCGCGCCCGCTGAGGCCAGGGAGGAGGCGGCTGCGGCCGGAGCCCTGCGCCCCAGAGAGGGGCCCGAACAGTTTTCCGTCCCGGATCCAGTGGGAACCATGGGGCTGCTTGTCCAGCCCCTCTGCGGTGTTCTCGGCTGCTAGGATGGACCTCACCCTTCCCGGGCACCTGCTGTGTGCCTGGTGTCATGTTTTCCTGCAGTGGGGTAAGCAGAATCCGAGACCTGAGGCATTGACCGACCACGATGCTTCCCTTGGAGTCTGCGCCGCCACCGGCTGGTTTCAGGCTCACCGCGACCTCGTTGGCTCTGCTGAGGTTCCCTGACTAGCCCGAGGCCCCCTAGCTGGAGAGGGTCTGGACTGGGGGCCACATCTGTCTGCCTGCAGCTCTTCGAAACGGTGGATTTGTTGCCCTCTCTCCTCCCACCCAATCTCCCCTGGTGTCTGTGTGACGGGTGGGGAGCACTGGTGACTCCGCAGGCCTCGGATCCTGGAGGCACAGCTGGGTGAGCCTGGGTCAGTGACTTAACCTCTCTGGTCTTTCATTTCCACCTCAGAAAATGGAATCAGAGCTCCCCATCTAAGCAGTTGTACTTGATAAAGTGCTTAATAAATGGGACCCACGTCATTGTTCCTAGTAAGGCTGAGCCACCAGGGGGCCCTGGGTTTCAGGGATGCCGTCCTCCCTGCCCTGGAAGGTGTGAGGCCCAGAAGCTGCCTGCCCGACCCCTTGGTGTTCTCAGTCCCACCTCCAAGCTTAGCTGGGTCGGCCCCTTGTCAGGAATGCCCTCCCTTTCCCATCTTCCAAATTCTCCAGGGTCCTCTTCCAGGCCTCCCTGTGCCCTCCTCCCACCCTGCCCAGCGCAGGACACAGGAGTCCCCCAAGCCCCAGCCCCTGGTCCTGCCCTTATGTATGGCTAGCCACACTCTTGAGTCTCATATTTCCTTATTAGATGGGGCTGAGGGGCAGCTCTCCCTCCCCACCCGATAACACAGTGTCATTCAGTTAACATTTATGGAGTCCCTAATGTGTGCAGAGGTACTTCTAGACATCGGGTGTGTGTTGGGTGGGGGGTGGACAAAGCCTCTCATTCGTGCAGCCGAGTCTTGTGGGACAGACGTAACAGACAAGTACATATGATGTAATATGAAGTCTGATGCTGAGGACTGTGAATAAGAAATAAGGCTACATAAGGGGAAAGGCTTTGAAAGGAAGGTTTAGTTTGGAAGGTAAGGGCCTTTCTGAGGGGGTGACTTGAAACAAAGCCAGGGAGGTTTCCAGCCGTGAGGGAGCATCCCATGTTAGAACACTTCCACTGAGACCAACTGGAAAAGAAAATAAATTATACATACATGAAGGCCTCCAAGAGCTCCCGAGGCCTCCAGGATTCCAGAGCAAAAAAGCTCATTCTGCTGGGGGGTGCGGGCAAGCTGAGGAAGCAGAGGCTGAGAGGCCGGGAGCCTGGGAAACTGGAGGCAGACATGGAGTCCAGGGCTACCAGGCAGGCAGGGCTCAAGGGGCCAGAACCCTGGGAAGAGGACAAGAGGCCGAGGTGAGCCCACCACTGTGCTCTTCTCCCCGGGCAGCCTCCTGGGGCAGGGCGAACAACATTTGATGTTCAAGGTATCGTTAAGGAGAATCCCTGTACTCACCTCCAGTTAGGACTCCAGTCAGGTTACAGGTTAGACGTGAGGGCCGCCGGGAAGCAGACTCAGCCACAAAAAGACCAGAACTCAGCTTCAAACTCAATTCCAGACCGGGTTAAGAAAATCCCTACTCTAAGTGCTTGCCAGAAAGCAAAAACCAGGATAAGTCCTAAGCCACACACGTCTATTTACGTTTAAACTGATTAAATTTAAAACTTTGTCAGTCACATGAAACCCATTTAGACTCTCATGTGTGGTCACCGGGGCATCCAGGGGAGGGTGGCTCCTTCCCAAAACCAGTAGCCACGAACTGGATCTGAGTCCACCTGGGGTGGTGTGCCCATAGCCTACTGGATCCCCGCAACCAGAAGGGGTGTGCTGGGAAGGGGAGGGGACTCAGAGTGACCCTTGCCAGCAAAAGTTGTTGGGTGACCTTACCAGGCTGGGTGACTCATTACCTCTGAATACAGCCTCTCAACCAGTCTTCTGAGATACTTCCAGCCTTCGTTTGGGCTGAATCTGGACGTGGCGTAGCACCAGGTGCAGGAAAGGACCGCACATCATGTTCTCTGTCATCCGGAGCTCTGTGACAGTACAAGGAAGGGATTAGAATGCAAGATCAGGATATCCACCCACTGGGCAGTGAGGCGGGGAAGGGGAGGAGTCCGACCCAGAGGAAGTTTTCTGCACCAGGTTGAAAGTAGAGTCAGCCGAAGGGCAAGGAACCCAGTGGGCTATGCAAAATGCTCTGTGTCTCTGAAGCTAAGTCCCGTCTTCAGGGGAAACTGAGAAGGGGCGTGGGTGTCCTTTGACCAGCACCTCTGTCTTATAGGACAAGGTCACCAGTCCCATTCCCCAACCCTGTTACCTCTGCATCTGAGACAGGTCAGAGGTCTGCCCCCAGGGGGCGCTCCATCCACCGGGCCAGCCCTGGGGAGCTCCCCCACGCCCGAAGGTTGGCGCTGTCCATGGTTCTGGAGCATAGCTGAGCTCTGGGTTCAGGAAACCCCCAATGCTGCTAACAGGCCCCAGTCCACAGGCACAAGGTCCCGAGCCCTAAGGCGGGGCGGGGGGGGCTTCAGAAAGGCTGGGTCCCTCTTGGTAGGAGTCAGAAGAAGGGGTGGGAGTGGGCTGGGCTCATCTCTGTGCTTTTACATGTCTTGTTGCCTTAATGTTCTTTTGAACTTGTGCCAGCCTGGCTAAGGAACAGGAGAGAACAAGGTATTTTCTGAGGTTCCAGGTTATGCCGATGCTGTGGGCGCTCAGCGCGCACTGTAAGCAGCAAGTCTGTGCTTGACTCTCCCCTGGGATAAAGGATTAGGAAAGGGATGGTCGGTCACTGGACCTCCCCGCGTGCCAGGCTCAGGGCTGCTCCTTTCTATATATTGCTCCACTTAATCCTCACGACCAATCCAAGAAAGGGCCGTTTAACAATTCTCATTTAGCAGAGTGGGAAATTGAGACTTGATGTGATTGGTGACCTTCACAGGGTCTCACATCGTTGATGTACATTTGGGGGTATGACACCATAGAGTGCGCCCCTGACTAGCTACACTGGTCCCAGAAGATCAGGTGATAACGCAGTAGGCAGGTGTTTGTCTAAAAGGGATAGAGACGTTCGGACAATAATAGTCCAGGGCTGATGGCGGCAGCAGAGAGCAGAAGAGACCCCCGCGGGAGCGGGACTCCAGACCCATCAAGGTCTGTTGCCGAGGACCAGCCCCCACCGCCACCTGCTGCTGCTAGTGGACACAGCACGCAACCTTGGTGAAGCGGTGGGCTCGTCAGTATTTGCCACTGGACTGTCCCTAGAAGAGGACGTTCCTCCAGTGAATTTTGGCCCATGTTTTCTTTTCCAAAGGTAGAAGGGAGGTCATGAAGGACTTTGAATGCAGGGGCTGATGCCCGGGACATGTCCAAGGCCAGGGAGCCACGATGGGGTTGCACAGGAGAGTCAGGGTCAGCTCTCTGGCTGTTGTTAAGATCCCCATGGAATGAGTGTGAAAATAAGTAAAGGAAACCTCATTGAAAATGGATAGTAAGGCCCTGAGGGGGGCGCTCTCGCGCACGTGCCACTCCAGCAGGAGAAGGAAGACCACTCTTATCTTGACAAGGGAGAGCACTTTTCATGGGATTTCATCTGCTTTTAAGAGAAAACTAGAAAGATCCTCCAGCCCAGCAGCAACGCACTAACCAGGGCCGGCGGCCAGTGAGACGTCCACAACCTTGAACTCCTGTGCTGCTCCAATGAGCTTTTGCTCAAGACAACCCTCCTCAACCTCCTCCTCAAACCTAATAAAAGCTGACCTTCCCTTTGTCCCTTCGGACCTGTCTATGGCTTGCCACTGTTTGCTTGTCTCAAATTGCAAGTCCTCAGCTATTCTCCAGTGAGTTCATTTTGCTAGTAAAATAACCAAATAGTTTATTTTTTAAGGTTGACACCCATAAATGAGATAGGAAAGGGGCCTGGAGGTAAGGAGGTGAAGGAATGTGCTGCAAGAACTGACACGTGAAAGTGGGGCAGGGAGATGACGCCCGAAGATTCTAAGATGCCCCATCCTGAACTGAATGTCAGCTGAGGGGCTGGTCTTTTCCCGGGGAGGCTTTGACGAGTTCTGGGAAGGAGACTGACACCAACAAGATGGCCTGCTGACCCCCAGCCTCAGGAGGACTTGCAGCAGGACCTTTCTGTTCAAGGGGGAGACCACGCTGTGCGACAGGGCCTCTGTTGCCTCATTTCTGAGTGTTGATCTCTTTAATGCTCACAGCCGCGTCTGAGGCAGGATGCTTGATCACTGGCTTACAGAACGGGAAACAGGTGCTGATGGCTCTGCCTTCGGGGGCACGGGAGTCTGCGTCTGAGCCCACGTCTGCTCTCCCTGGCGACGCTCCGACTCCCGCTAATGCCCGTATACTGCCACCAGGGTTCCTCAGGCCCCGTCCACTACCCCGACTTCTCCTTCCCCCGTACGTGCTGTGCTTCCTCCCGCCAGGACTGAGCTCCAGGCGAGTCCTCATTTGTTCATCCTAATCTCTGAGTACTCGGTGGTGCTGGGGGCCTCCTGGTCCCCAGGCTCCCTCGGCTTCTTCCCGGGAAAGCTGAGGGAGGCGTAGTGGACCTCCTGTGGCTCCCCCGAGGAAGGGGCGTAGTGGACCTCCTGTGGCTCCCCTGAGGAAGGGGTGTAGAGGACCTCCTGTGGCTCCGAGGAAGGGGTGTAGGGGACCTCCTGTGGCTCCCCCAAGGGAGAGGCATCCCCAGCTTGGTCTGGGGCGCTGTCTGGCCAGGGCCTTTGCCTGGAACCCTGAGTAAAGGGGAGAAAAGAGAGTCAGAGTAAGAATAAGGCTGGCGTGGTCCCCAGGGGGGAGCTAGACTGACGCGACACTTATTCATTTACCCTTTTATTTCATACACATTTCCTATGAACTCAGTTATTCGCTTATTCTTTGAAAAATTTGTAATACAACAACTGATGAAGCCATAGTGAGGGCTTACTAATTGTACTTGATCCCCGCAAACACCTAGTATGAAAGATGCCGTAGCACCATTATACAGACGGGGAAGCTGAGGTGGGGAGAGGTGAAGTGACCTGCCCAGGGCTACTCATCTAGTACATGGGGAGCCGGCAGTCAAGCCCAGGCCAGCGTGTTCTTGGCAGTGTCCCCTGTGCCAGGCCCCGGGTGAGGGGGCGGGCGGACTGTGGGAGACAGACAGGCCCTGGCCTCAGGCAGCTTACAGTCTGCTGGCAGGACCCAACTGTAGATAAGTAGGCAAAGCACATTTCTAACCTCCATGTGTGTCATGAGACATGCAGAGACCAGAAAAGAGAGAGCAATTCTGGATCCTGGACCTGGGTTCCATAAACCAAAAATAGAGCAGAAGCAAGGACCCAGCAAAGACGGTACCAGACCCTGGCAGGCAATTCCCTGTCCTCTCCCACATCTGCCACACCCCTCCACCATCAGGCCATAGAAAAGGGTGTTAAAAGCTGTCAAATAAGTAGCTCAGAAAGGGGGGAAGAAAAAGGAATTCCAGGTTAGGATAAAATAGTTTTGCCATGCCAGAAAGAACAGAACATTGGCCAGAGATGCCCTATTAGACATCACCAAGATGCCCTGACCACGTGCCAAAGTGGGGACCATAAGGACGCGTCCATTCACAGCCTTACCATATATAAAAAAAGGACTAAACTGAAATGCAGCTCACATTAATAAACAGAAGGCAGTCATATTCATTCTTCCGCTCAATACCTCTTTGCTGAGTGCATGCTATGAGTCAGGAGCCAGTCTTGCAAATGGGGACGTAACAGGGACTGAAACAGCACAAAATACCTGCCTTCATACAGTTCCTTGTGCAAGAGGAAAAACTAATATAATAGGAATAACAGCTGTAATCAATACCCCCATGAGCAAGGCACCCTTCTCAGCACTTCTTGTAACAACCCAGTGAGACTAGCCTACCGGTGGTCCTATTTCCAGAGTGAAAACAAAGAAACAGAGAGCTTAATTAACTCATCCCAAATAGCTCAGTAAAATACATAGCTGTGCTCATTCTGTGCCAGAATGAAAACCAGAGATCTGGAAAAAGTGCCCGCCTTTGTAGAAGGTGGAGGGAGAGGGAACCAAGAGATGGGAAAGCATAGTAACACTTTTTGTTAGGTGTAAGGCAGAGATATTCATTATTCAAATGAGACACGAGGAAACGAACTATTCAGAAAATGGAACCCGTGAATGAACCAACGAAAAAGGTAAAGCAGGAGAAAGAAACGCATGTGAATCACAATCAGCACAGAGTGAATGAGACAGAGGTTGTCAGGTGGGATTTAAAAACCTAGTTATGCTCTCTATAAAAATCACTGCTGAAGCATAAACAATAATTTTTGGGGAAAAAAGGATCAGTAAATATTAGGCTCCTTCCTAACCAGTGACAGACTGGTGTATCTCTATTAAGATCCAACCAAAAGGACTTTAAAGCAAAAAGTATCAATAGAGATATAGAAGATTACTATGCATGATAAGATGTTTGATTAATTGAGAAGGTCTGATGCTTCTAAAATAGACGTTTTTTAATTTATAAGTGCATCAACTATAAGAAACATTTGATAGAGCTACAGGGAAAAAATTTTAAATATGCTATGATAATGCAAGATTTCAACATGCCTCCCTCAATTATTGATGGGTTGGGAAGACCTATTTGTAAAGATTTGGGTATGAACAACACAATTAACACACTGGCCTATTGAGCTTACATAGAATTTAAGAAATAGAAAATATACATTCTATTTAAGCACAGAGGAACTATTCACAAAATTCATCACACACCAAGCCACAGATCAAGTCCCGACAAAGTTACAAAACAGAAGTCATAAAATCCAGGTATTTGGCCCCAAACCCAATCTAGTTAGAATTTAATTATGGAAAGACATTTTAAAAATCCCTATACCTGTGGTATTTTTTTAAAAATCCAAAAGGCCTTAAGATTCAATGGGGTTTTAATAATATTTAGAACTGATATTAAAATAGTCCAGGTAGGATGAAATTAGTGTTTTGAGAGAACTTTGTCCATTAATACTTTTATAATGAAGAAAGGGTGCCATACATTAATAAGCTAAGTGCCCAGCTTAGAAAGTTGGTGAAAAAAACACCAGAATAAAGCCAAAGTGAGTAGAAGGAAGATGCCTAGGTACTGAGAGTAAAAATAAGTAAGGGAGAAGACAAAGAGGGATAAAACTAACAATCCCAAAAGCTCATTTTTTTAAACTAACAATAAAATAGGGCAAACAATGAACAAAATTTGCTTGGAAAAAAAAAAGTCACAAATAACTAGCTAGTGTCAGGAATATGAAAGGGGGAGGACTCCTAGTTAAAATAAACATTATAATGTTGAGAACACTACCTGTAACTTGTTAAAAAATCCTAGAACTTGTTATAAGGACGAAGCAAAACTGAAGGAACAAAACAGCAGCAGACTCACAGACAACAAGAAGGGACTAGTGGTTACCAAAGGGGAGGGTGGGGAAGAAGGGAGGAGGGGATGGAGGGGTATTATGATTGGTATGCATGGTGTGTGGAGGTCACAGAGAAGACAGTGCAGCACAGAGATGACAAGTAGTGACTCTGTGGCATCTTACTACACTGAGGGACAGTGGCTGTAATGGAGCATGGGGGGTGCACTTGATAATATGGGTGAATATAGCGACTACATTGTTTTTCATGCGAAACCTTCATAAGAGTGTATATCAAAGATACCTTAATAAAAAATTATTTTTAAAAAAAATCCTACAAGTTAGGTGAAACAAACAAATGCCTAGAAAAATGCTCACTAAAAAACACACCAAATGACTGACATTAGAGAAATTGCATACGGGGACAACACTAGGCCCAGAGATTTTACAAATGACACCTATTAATCATTCAAGAAACAGGTCATTCCAATTTTATACACTGTCTTCCAGAGACTTGAACAAGCGAGAATGTTCTCCAGTTCCTCAATATTATCTTGATACTCAAACAAGCAAGCAACCGGCCCATTTTACCCCCGCAGACAGATGCCTAAATTCTCAACGGAAGACCAGCAAACGGAATCTGTTAGGGTGTAAAAATGCATATACAGATCATGAACCATGTTTTTCTCAGGAATACTAGCGTGGTTTCATATTAGAAAATCTTAAACTGTCACTCATAGTGGTAACACACTGGCGGCGGAAGTGGGAGATGGGGGGTGGAATTATATCAGTACACGCATTTGAAAAGTTCAACAGAAGTGTATGATAAAAACTTCAAGTTATTCAATGATAGGAAGGAATGTCCTTACCCTGAGGAAGGTTATCTATAAAAAAAACAAAGCCCTGCAACAAAACCTAACTTAAATGGTATGACTTGGGATGCTCCCCTCAAAAACAGGAGTTAATACAGGATGCCAGGGTCATGGCTTCCATCCAACTTTGACTGGTCTTAGCCAGGACGCTAAGACAAGGAGAAGGAAGTGCTGAGGATCAAAGGAAGAGATACAGTATTGTTATCTTGCAGATGATACGATCATCTAATTTGAGATCGCAACAGATTTGAGATTCTGAGAGACACCCAAGACAGATTTGTGATATTTTTTAAATTGAAAAAAGAACCTATTAAAGATACTCTGATGTCTATATTCACGTTACTAGAACAGGAGAGATTAGCAAGTTGGAAGACTACAAGATCAATACATATGTCACTGCATATTGCACGTTGCTGCATCGACAGAGAATGAGGATGTTTCTCAGCACTCAGCCAGCTGAGATCCCAGAAAAGGTGGGTGTCAGGATGAAGAGAACATTTACAGGGGGGCAGTTTAGGGGAAGCACAATATTCAGCCTCATCACTGTAGGATTGTGAAAGGAGAAGCTGTGGGGACAGATAAAGGAACCAGCTGTTGTTCAAACAATCTGCAGTCACCGTCTGCCCGCAACCCAAGGTGCTACAGGGACTTCTGCTGCCAAATGAGGTAGTCTGAGGGTGCACTTCCCTGTCACTGATTCCGGAGAGTGAGCCATTTGTTGAAATCTGAAATCTCATCAAAGACAAATATATATGCAGGGCAGGCACCAAGCCAGGTGTTTCAGGTTCTGCACCCGAAGCCCAAAAGGACGAGTTGATTCTCAAAGGAAATGACATTACCTTTGCATCAAACTCAGCTGCTGTGATCCAGCAAGCTGTGACCGTTAAAACAAGGACATCCATTTTGTCAGCTGGTATCTGTACCTCTGAAAAAGAACCGTTCCGCAGGTTTATGAGCACCATCAAAGAATTCTCCAGCTACCAAAGTAACAAGGGTCTAAAGGACACCCAAAACCAAGTTGCGATTTTTTTAAATTGCAAAACACATCTTATACTTTTTTAAAAAATGTTTTCATTCTGAATACAGCAGTGAGCAATCAGAAAATTCCCGTTTAGGAAGGTGGCATTTACAACTGTAACACAAACTAGGACTTAGGAAGTAAAAGAACAAATGATGCAAGACCTACGTGAAGAATATGACGTCTTTCTAGAAAACATTACAAATTAAGCCGAGAGACTGAGCCTGCTTCTGTGGACAAGAAGGTCTGAATTCATAAAAAGGTAAATTTTCTTCCCAAACTGATGTTTAGATTCCATGTAATTCCAACCAAAGCACCAACAGGAATATTACTGGGAGCTCGACAAACTGATTCGATCAGTTGAATAGAACAGTAAAGGGCCAAGAGCAGCGAGGACGCTACCGAAGAAGATTGAGGATGGGATCTCGCTCTGTCAGGTATCAGGACTCATTTTTGAGTCTATAGCTGCTGTACTCTGTAGTCAGCCTGATTCAGAGACGGTAAATTAACCATTAGGACAGAATAGAGACCACAGCGAGAGGCCCATGCACGTGTAGAACTTCCATGTACTGCGGAAGTGGCAGATCAGATCAGCAGGGGAGGGATGAAGAGGGGCGGTTCTGTGAATTAAGGAAGAACAGATAGAGATCGAACACCGCACACAAAAAAACAACTCCAGGTAGATTACGTCTGTAAACGTCAAAAGGGAGACTTGAAACTCGCAGCTGAAACTATACTTGAATATCCTTCTAATCTTAGGATCAGTAAGATTTTTCTTAAATGAGACCCAGAAGGCACTCCATAGAAAAGACAAGACTGGTGAATATGGTATATTACAAGTAAGCAACTCACTGGGAAAAAGTTAACTTACAACACACAGTAACCACCACTAACAAAAAAAAAGCATAGAAATGTATAAAGCTCCCCAACAAATTTTAAACACCCAACAGGGAAGAGGGCTGCGGATGTGAGCAGGCATTTTACAGGGGAGGCGTTCCATGCCAGTGAAGCCGTCGAGAGAGATTCTCCCTCAAGGGCCATCAAGGAAATGCAATCAATACCATACTGAGACAAGAGACGACACAAAATTGGGAAAACCAAGTGCTGGGGAGGTTGCACATCAACAGAAGCTGATAGGCATAGACGGCAGTAAAAGTGGACACAATTGCCTCCGGAAACCATTTGTCACAACCTGGTAAACAGGAAGATTCACAGGCCCTATGACCTAGTAACTAAAATTTTAAGTACTGCTCAAGAAAAACGCTCGTCTGTGAACACAATGAAGCATGAGTAAGAATGTTCATGATAGCGACCTGTGGAAACAACTCAAACGCCCATCAGTACGCGATCAGATCACAGGCATAATCATAAAACGAAATGTTACGCAACGGTGAATTGCAACTGTGCACAACATGGATGGATCTTCACCACACAATGCTGCCTTCTACAAAGCAAGTCCGAGAAGGGTTCACCAGAATGTGATGCCCTTTGCAGGCTGCAGAGCAGTTGAACTAAGCAGGGTATGATGGTTCAGGTATAGGTACCCGTGGTAACACCAGCAATTAGTTAGATTCAGAGCAGTGCCTCCTGGGGACAGGCCAGAGAGCAGATGGGCAGATGGAAGCTCTCGTCAATGTCTCAGTCTTAGGTTGGATGCTGGGCTCACGGGGTTATAACGCAAACAAAGGTGAGTAAGTAAGTGAATAAGGCACGTTCCAGTGGTCACAGCTCGTTCATGAACAGACCATTTGGGATCATTCCGTTTAGGAAAACATGGGCCCAATTTTATGAAAGGGGAGAGGGGTCATGCTGGACAGGGGCAAGAAGATCACAGCCCCTGCCCTCGAGGACTTCACGCACGCGAGGAGCGGGTGGAAACAGGTCATGCAGGGATGTCCCGTGACACGTCCCTCAGGACGGGGCTGGGAACTTGGGGGAGGGAGAGATGGACGCTGGCCGGGAGGGCGATGACAAAGGTGTCCCAGAGCAGGAGACGTGGGCTTAGGAGCCACAGGATGAAATGAGGTGGTCTGGCGGAAGTGGGCACAGGAGGGCAGATCAGGTGCAGGACATGGACATGCAAAGGCTCCAGGCTGAGGGGCCAGGTCCGTCGGAGACACGGGATGGCCAGCGCGGCTGGACCACAGGGCAGGCCTGAGGCCCGAGTGGCCATCAGGGGAGACCTCAAGAAGGCCTTTACATTACTGGCTGAGGGATGTACTGATCTGACTCCCTCAGCAATGGAGCCAACAGAAACCTCGCTGAAACTCCAGACTGGCTGGGAAGGAATCACTTCCGGGAGGCGGTTCTGGCGGCCTGTGTCTGGCAAGCCGGTGAGGGGAGCTCAGGGGTCAGCGGGGGTGGGCAGCGGAGTGAGCCGAGGGGCTCACTGCTCCGGGATATGAAGGGGAAGACGAGAAGGGACGTCCCAGGGTCCACACAGGCGACCGGGCACAAGCAGGCCTGGGAAACGCTGAGCTCAGTCTGGACTCAAGGAACGCACCCCCCCCCCCGGGGCCCCTGAGACGCCACGTCACTCACCCAGGCGACTGTCCCCATGACAGGGTCTTCATCATCCATGCCCTCTCGTTTCCTGGCTGCTTGCTTCCTGCGGACTCTTACTCTAAGGGAAGAAACCAGCCTGCTGACAGGGGGGCAGGCCGCCCCGGCACCCTGAAAGATCACCAAGGAGGCATCCAGACCCCGGAACTGGCCTCGGACACCTTCCTGATGCACAGAGAGGACTCCATCCCCCGGATGATCAGAGGCTTGGCCAGCCTGATTTCCATCTGGAAAGACCTCCTTTACACACAAAACTCGCACACAAGTGATCATAGCAGTGTTAGTAGCAATGGCCAAAACGTAGAAATAACCCACATGTCCATCAGTGGGGGAAGTGTACAAAAAAAATGTGCCCCATCCATACAACAGGATACTCATTGGAAATAAAAAGGAACGGAGCACTGACTCCAGCCACCTCGTACATGACCCTTGCAAACATCACACTCTGTGAGAGAAGCAGACACAAAGGGGCACATATTGTATGATTCCACTTGCACAAAATAGAAGAGGCAAATCTAGAAAGGCAGAAAACAGATTCGTGGTTCCCTGGGACTGGCGCAGGGTGACACAGCTCCGTGAACGGACGAGAAGCCACGGGATCATATACTTTAAGTGTATGGGCATCATGTCTCAACAAAGCTGTTAACTCCCCTTCGCCCCAGCCCAAAACAATACTGCCTCTGGATTGACCCTACTCAGCTCCGTATTTCTGGAATGAAGTGACCTCTCGGCACCCTGACCAGCCCTCTCCGGGCTCCTCTGGGACAAAGGCTTACATGCAGAGGTAGAGGAGGCCCAGACACAGGAACAGCAGGGCCGTGACGCCAGCGCCTCCAAGAGCCCCGGGAACCACTCCTGACATGGACACCGAGCCTCCTGCGGAGAAGAGACCCGGGGGCAGCTCACCCCTGGTCCTGTCTCCGGCCTCCTCCTCCTCCCGCAGAGCTCGCTCCAGGCCCTGTGCAGGCACCAGAGGAACGTCCGGTGCTGCCGACCACCCTCTGTCTGGGCCCCGGCCCCGCCCCTAGCTTCTAGGATTGAGACTCCGTTGTCCCTCGGCCTGTGCCCCCAGCAGCCCCCTGACCTGGCAGCAGCAGGACGGCGCTGCTCCGGGCCCCGCCGTGCACGTTCCTGGCCTCGCAGCTGAGTCTGAGGCCGGAGCCGGGCGCCCCGCTGAGCCTCAGGGCGCTGTGGGCCCAGGGCCCCTGGGCGCTGGAGGTGACCGTCAGGGAGGCGTTGCTGTGGTTCCCCTGCAGCAGCGCCTCCCCCAGCCGCCAGCACAGAGAGGGGGCCGGCAGGGCCCGGGAGGAGCAGTTGCAGTGCAGCCCCCGGTCCTCCCAGGAGCAAGAGGGGCCCAGCAGCCGCGGGGGGTCTGTGGGGAGGGGGGAGAGGGCTCAGGGGCACGCCTCCCTCCCCAGGACCCGGGTGTCCTGCCCCCCCGGTGGGGGGCCCACGCTCACGGTGCACAGAGAGGCTCAGAGAGACGTGCTGGGAGCCCAGCCGGTTCCGAGCATGGCAGGTGAATTCACCCCCGTGGCCCAGCTCCACCCGGGGCAGCTCCAGGGTCTCGGTGCTGGAGAAGGGGGTGGTGTGGAGGGCTGGGGGCCCCCGGAACCAGCTCAGCTCTGCAACAGGGTTGCTGTCAGCAGCACAGAGCAGCCGCAGAGCCTGGCCCTCCACGACCAGGAGGGACGAAGTGGTCAGCAGAATCTCGGGAGCTTTGGGGAGAGAGATGCAGAGGAGCTTCGGCGTGCGCTGTGAGGGGTGGGCAGCTCCCATGCCCCCAGGAGAGGGGTTGGCATCTCCCTCTCTTCCCCGCCCAGGGGCTTGCTTCCCTCTGAGTCCAAAGGCTGGGCCTTCACACCCTAAGGATATTGGCCCTGAGTGTCTGGGCCTCACATCCTCGGGGCAGGCCCCCTCCCACTGGGACATGCCTGGACTGTTTGGCCAGTGGAGCAGAGAGCTCACGGCTATGGAAATGCACTAGGTGAAAGGAGCAGACAGGACATGGGGGGCTGGTGAGGAGGAGGGAACCAGAGCAGCACAGGTGGGCAGATATGGGCTGTGACAGGGCATGTGTCTGTGCCCACCCCCAGGGACCAGAGGCGGGCTGGTGACTCGCAGCCTTCTGCCCCCACACCCAATCCCATACAGGCTGTGAGGCCCCCTTCTGCATGGAGGCCGCTCAGGCGCAGCCCAGCCCCAGGCAGGACAAGTTGTTTCCTACCTGTGGCATTTTCCGAGACGCTGATGGTGAGGTTCTGCGGAGAGTCTGGGATAAAAAAACATGGCCCTGCTTCAGAGCTGAGGACCGGCATGGGGGCAGAGCTGGTCCTCTGAGGGGCAGGGGACACTTGGAGGGGGACAGCCGTCCTCGCCCACTGGACACTGAGGCTGCCAAGGCTCAGACCACACACCGCTCTCCGCTGCCGTGCCCTCTCCTCCTCTGCGAATGTGCACGCGCCCAGCCACCCCGCCAGCACTCACAGGAGACATTGAGCCAGATGGTCCTCTCCGTGGCCACCTGAGGTCCTTGGAGTGTCACCTGGCACGTGAGGTTGGTGCCATGATCCTGGGGCCTCGGGGTGAGGGTGAGCACTGAGGAGGGGTCAGTCGTGGCGTCCAGAGAGTCAACAGCATCACCCACCCAGGCGACCAGGAGAGGCCCGCCCCCTTCACAGGATTCCGCCAGGCTGCAGGTCAGGTTCGCGGGGCTGCCCGCCTGCAGAGGCTCCGGAAGGTGGATGTCAGGTTTCTGGGTCAGGGCTGAGGAGGAGAGAGGGAGATGCCTGAAGCCCGGCGGGGCGGGGACCCGGAGGGTGACCTTGAGAGGGACCAGTGCCTCGGGGCCTGAAAGGACCCAGGTCCCGTATCCCTTCCGACCACCCCAGCCCCCGGATCTGGAACCAGGCATGATCTGATGCACCACTCCCGTCCTAAGACAGCGGTCCCACGTCCCAGGGCCCTGTCCCGGGCCCCTGCATACCTGTCACCTGCAAATTCAGCGTCTTATCTCTGTAACTGTATCTCACACGCTCTCCTCTCTCCACTCGGAAGTAGTAGGTGCCTGTGTCGCTCCTCCTGGCGTCTCGGATGCTCAGGGAGCAGTTGTTGGCCTCGGGGTCCCCGAGGAGGCGGAACCGGCCCCGGGTCTCTGCCTTCACTGCTCTCCGCTGGTTGTTTGTAGCCACAGCACCGAGGAACAGGCTGTCCCCCTCCCGGTACCAGTAGGCGTAGAGCTCTCCAGCGGGAGCCCACCGACTCCAGGGGTAGGAGAAGGAGCAGTTAACGAGGACGCACAGGCCCTCCTGCACCGTCACCAGGTCCTGCAGGTGCAGCTCATACCCTGAGTCCTCCTGCAGGGACCCTGGGGGGACACAGCGCTCAGCTGCAGCTCCAGCCCCGCCGCCCCCCACTCTGTGCCGCCCCTCCTCCTGGCCACTCACCGCCCCACAGCAGGGCGAGCAGCAGCGCAGTCACCATGTCTGCATCTGGCCCGGGGTCGGGTCCCTGTTGGGGAAGGAAACGCCCTGCATGCGAGGTGGGGCCAAGGAAGCCCCAGAGGAAGCCACGGCCACCACAGGGCTGTGGCCACCTAAAGGGGAACTGGGACACCACAGGCTATGGGGGAGAAACGGGGCTGAAGAATCACCCCGCCTCGTGCCATCCACACAGCAGGTGGCTATACAGGGCACCCCAGAGGCTGAGAGCTTGGACTGACGGGAACCTGGAAGTGACCGCCTTCCAAATGTTTAAGTTAAGAGCCAGGTCACTAGGGGGGCGGTGCAGTTCGAAAAGGGAAACAGGGACTACTCTGGAGATTCAATATGACTCACCCTCGCTGGAACACACAGAACATTCTAGAAGGGAATACTTTTAGATGTACTTAAAACCATTCAAGTGCTAAAAAGAACGAAAGGAATCTGCAGATGCAAATCCAGTGGCGGGTGGGACCTGGGTAGGGAAGGGATGGGGAGATGGGGAAGCGAGTGTTAAAGGCCGTCGGCTCCTGTGGGGCAGCGACTGGAGCACAGGCCCACACCAAACAGGACAGACGTGCAGGGATGGACCTTCGCCCCGTTCAGTGGGGACCCCAAAAAGCCTCGACCTCAGCACAGAAGCAAGTTGGCCACCATGAAGCGAATGAGGGTCCATCTTCAGGGTTTGTGGCAAGAGGTCAAGCGACATGTGGAAAAAACCTGCAGTCCTTCTGCTCTTCCGTGAAAGAAAACTTGACAGGCGTTTCCCCAAACTGCACAATGATCTTAAACGTTTAGAATTTCCCAGTAATGGGTTGTGTGACTGAAACAATGTGACCAGTTTCTTAAACTATAAAAGATGGAAAGAAATGTCAATCAACAGTACATATACATGTATATATAAGATTATAATGCTTCAATAATTATTAACAAATATAAAAATAAAAATAATATGAATCTTATAAATGTTTAATATAATATAGAACAAAATTATTCTCATATAAAGAGTCAAAGAATATCAGTCAAAACAGGTGTGCCAGACACATATTCCAAACTACTGATAAAACTAGTCTCTAATTTTTCTAAGTTCTTGTATTTTCCTTTTGCAATTTGATGTGATGTATTTTCTCATTTCAACACAATTTATACATGCGCCAAATTTTGTATTTCTTTCTTAAGGAGAAAGAATTTGTAGACGCGCCAGGCTCCATGGAACACAGGACTATCCCTGCCCAGGGGCTGGAGGTGGCGGGGCTCGGGGGGTGCAGATAAGCAGTACCAGCTACATCCCAACCCCAACCCCCTCCCCACTCCTCAGCTGTTGCAGGCAAGATTGCCTTTGGGCAAAGCAGGATCTAAAGACAGCAGGCTTCCCGTGGGTGTACAGCACAGATTCAGATCACCCTGAGGCCTAACAAATCTCACGCTGGGATTATCAGAAAGACAAGAGTTAACAAGTGTTGCTGAGGATGTGGACGTGGAGAAAAGGAAACCCTCTGCACTGCTGATGGAACTGCAAATTGGTGCAGCCACTATGGAAAGCAGTATGGCAGTTCCTAAAAAAGTTACGAATTATCATACAACACAGCAGTTCCACTTCTGGGTTTTTATATGAAGGAAATGAAAACACTAGCTTGAAAAGATATCTGTGACCCCCATGTTCGCCGCAGCATTATTTACAATATCCAGGACAGGGAAACAACCTAAGTGTCCATCGATGGATGATGGAACAGATAAAGAAAATGTGGTACATGTACAATGGAATATTATTCGGCCATAAAAAAGCAGGAAATCCTGCCATTTATGACAACACAGATGGACCTTGAGGGGATTTTGCTGAGTGAAATGAATCAGAGAAGACAAATACCAAATGATCTCAGTTATATGTGAACTCTAGAAAACAAAAACAAAAACTAAACTCACAGACACAGAGAACAGATTGGCGGTTGCCAGAGGCCACGGTGGGCAAAATGGGTGAGGGGGTCAGAAAGCATAAACTTCCAGTTACAAGACAAAGATGTCCAGCGGATGTAAGGTACAGCACGGCAACTGTATGAATAGTTACATATAGTTAACAGTTCTGTAGTGCATATTTATAACTTGCTGAAAGTAGATTCTTAAAAGTTTTCATCATAAGAAAAAAAGGGTAACAGTGTGGTGGTGGATGCTAACCAGACTTCTTGGGGTGATAATTTCTCAGGATCTATGTACAACAAATCATTATGTTGGACATTATGTTGAAACTAACAATGTTGTATGTTTAATATTATCTCGAGAAAAAATACACTTTTTTAAAAGACTAAAAAAAAAAAACTCTCCAGCTGGATACGCACAGTGACCCAAGACCTCTAGGCAGTGTCCCCTTGCTGCTCCATTCACCTCTCAATATCCACATGACAGTTCCTTATATTAAATTCCCTCTGCTGAAATAGAGAAGGTGGCTCTTATTTTCATGATTGGCCCTTGACCGATTCAATCTCAAGAGATGCAGGAGGGAGGGGGGGAAGAGCTCTGGGTGGTTTCAAATGCCTTCATGATAAAACTCACAGGCAGCTAAAAATAAAGGAAAACTTCTCTAACAAGATAATGGGTGTCTTCAGAAAACAGCATATCTAATAGAAGGGCATCAGGTCCTCATGTAGTAAGGAAATAAAAATACATAAAAGTATAAGAATTGAAAAGAAAGAAAAAAAAAGCAAAGACATCATTCCTTATAATTGATTATAATATAGAAAAATCCAAAGGTATATTCAGATACATTTCGGGACTTAATAAGAAAGTGAGATAGACAAAATTAAGTTAGCTGGAGACAAAATTAAACTACAAAAGTCAATTGCATTTCCATATATCACAGTAATAAACAGAAAGTGAGATTTTATAAAAGGTGCCATAGACAATAACATCGAAAATTGATATAGCTGGAATACATCTAACTACTTAGAGATGTATGTAACAAAAATGCAGTGTGTGTCACCTTGAAGGAGGAAATTATAAATCTGTGTTTAAGGACATTGAGAATGTCACTACATTGAAAAACATGCCATGTTAACGGGTTTGAAAACAATATTGTATTAATGTCCATTCTACCCAAATTAATACACAACAGAATCAAAACAATGTATCATCCAGCCCCCCAGGTGATTTTTCTGGAACTTAGTAGCTTGGTATTTTGCACTAGAAATTTCCAAGTAAAGCCAAGGCAATTATGAAGAAGAACCAGGTGCAAGGAGGGGCTCTGGAAGATATCTAAACATGTTACTGCATTAAAAGAGAATAAGACAATGCTGTACTGACATAGGGACAGACCAACACACGAAATACAACAGAATGGGGAAGCTAGAAATGGACCTCAACCACCGGAAACATCCTAGGGGACAGAGGAGGTGAGAAAGAAAGGCAAGCTTTTCAATAATGCACGTGGGCTTGTGATCAAATGAAAATGCACCCCTAGCTCATGCCCTGTGGTGAAAATCAAGGGCTGATGGATTGCAGACCTATTGTCTCATGAGAGACAAATCTATAGAGCTCTTAGAAGATAATAGAGCAAGGGGGCTCTAAGTCATCAGCCAGTAAGTGTGAGAAGACAGTTCCCACACGTCTAACCACCTTTACCCAGAATGTAAGAAGAATTTCTACAACTACGTAAGAAAAGAAAAAACAGAAAAATGGGCTCACTTGAGCAAGTGTCTCATAAGAGCGTTCACCTTAAAAATAAATCAGTTAGCAGACCAGCAAAAATCCTTATTGGAAATCTAGTAACTGTTTGCTCAATAAAAAGAGAAGTCATTTATCTTTTTCTGGGTTCAACTGTTGGGCATCTCCAGTCGGTTTTTACAAATGGTCATTTGGGAGACCATCCCTTTGGACAAGGACAGAGGCTCAGCTGTTTGTTTTCTTGAGGTCAGTGTTTTGAGTGGAAACATCAGCAAGGTGAATCCATTGGCCCCCAGGGTGTTGAGTCTAGAATGTCAGGAACCTTAATGGCCAGAGTGAAAGTACGGCATCTAATCAGTTTTGGACATGGGGCCATTTTTCAATTTTATCCCCGTTGGAGGTTAGGAAACCTCATGATTTCCACAATATTCCAAAGTCATGAGTTACTCTAAAGGCACACTGACTGTCAGTATGAAGTCTGCAGTTCTGCCCTTGGCCAAGGTACAAGCTCCAAGGAGGGCATTTAACTCAGCTTCTGGCCCAAGGGGCCGAAGGTAGAGATGCTGCCTCGATGACTTCAAAAGGAGTCACAGAGCATACCGGGCATGATATTTACCATTTTCATTCTTTAAATAAGAACCATCAGGAAACCATGAAAAATCGGCCTTGGTTAGATTATCATGGGAGATCAAAAGGTGACCCGCCAGCACTAAGCAGCTAGGAGGGGCTTCATCTGGGTTCCAGCGGGATCCTATTCAGAGATTAGATACCTAAGAATGAACCTGAGCGTGCACAACTGCAATTGTTCTGAGATGACTTTTTGTCTCTTCAGGGCACAGAGTCTTAACAGGTGCAGTCTGAGAAGGGAACAGAGAAACAAATCACCTAGATACTGTAACAAAGTCAACCCTGCAGAAAACGTTATATCATCCAAATCAGCTTTTAAGGTCTGTGGAAGTAAAAACTCTCTGGGAAACCCTAGGCACCGCTGTCCAGTTGTACTTTCATTCTTCCCAAATGAAAGCCAAAACAATTTGGCTTTCCTTTACCTGGCGTACCAACAGTGTCCTGCAGAGATCAAGTCGAGTGACAAATTTGCTTTCGGGGGTCAGCAGTTTATGGACTAGGGAAAAACAGGGTGCCAAGGGAAAGCGGTATCACTGATGGCTTGGAGGTCCAGGACAAACCTCCATCCTCAGCCATTCAGGGAATCACAGGGTCAAGCGCAGGCGGGAGGCCCTGAGCCTTATAATCTTCCATTATGGGTTTAATGCCTTGAAGGGCTTCTTTATTTATAGGGTATTGATTCTCTCCGAGGAGAGGTTTTAAGGGATCTATGTGAATCTTGATGGGAGGTGCCCTGTGGGTTCTGCCAATGTCAGCTGAAGGTTTTGCCTGTAAGGAGGACGATAACTGGTGCAAAAGGAATGAATGATCAGTGTCCCCAGACTCAGCTATAGGGTATTCAGAGACAGAGCAAAGAAGATGTCCCAGGGTCATTTAATCCCCCTGGCTGGTATACTTTGATTACTACTGTCAAATTCTAGAATCATTTCCCCCTTCTGGGAGAAATTCTGGTATGA